AAATCACAGTTATATTACTTTCCTAGCTATTCAATGTCTGTAAGTAAGCAGCAAGATCTTTCATTAATCCGAAACTTTCTTCCATTTATCCTAAACTTGGAAATAAAACACAGCAATCTTTAATTTCACTTTAATTCTCTCCCAAAACTAAACTAAACGAAATACAATTTGTACATCTTCCTGTAATCTTCAGGAAAGCTCTTTCCTTCACCAACAACCACTTAACACATACTAACCTTAGTAGCCATGCTTCCTTCCATCATTTGCAGTCGGTCTAACGTATCTCCAGCAGCTACCACCGGTTGGCTTTTGTTCTGGATTTTATTCATTCTTTGCTTGAAATTAATTTGAATTTTAAATAAGCAAAGGAACCTTATTTTTATTCAGGTTTTTCTTTTTCTCCTATTCTATTTCGCCATTATATACTGTCCAGCGAGAATGCTTCCTTCCGCATAAGGAGTGTTCTTTGGAATGATATCTCCCTAATATGCTTGCATGAACATGCATGCACCCCTTAAGTAGCAGTGTTCTGTTTTGAATGGTTTCATAGCAAATGACATGAGGTGGAAGTGATAAAAAAAGAAAAACATTTATGTTTTTAAAAACTTGAACCCTATGTGGGGGAGGTACACGAAGAAATGGTCCGATCTCTACCAACTTTATAACAGATCTTGTGTTGACGAAAATATTGAGATTTACCAAGTCTGAATGGAGCCTTTGTGGGAGATGTACCAGAAGGAGTGGACCGATATATATCCCATCTTAAGAGCAGATCTTTTCGTAGTAGAAATGGGATGTGGGATGGGATGTGTGAAATGTGAAGAGAACCGGATGTTTTTTCGGATTTTATAATCTTTTGGTTATACAAAACTTTTACCTTTGTGATATCAGAAGGAGTGGACATCGGTCCCATCGGTCGGTTGCCCATTTTCTCGCCTGGACTAGCACCGTTGGAAATATTAGGATTTGCAAGGTTACAGCAATATCGGATTATCCATTCTCTTTCTGCGCACCAAAATATTTTTTTGGAAATTTCGAACTTTTGTGGTTGAGGTACCACAAGAAGTTCTCGATCTAACTTTGATAATAACATTACGACGTACCAAGTTTAGACACCCTTCGAGAATTATCGTGCGCACCAGCCAGCCAGACAGACAAAGAGAGAGGCAAACGGACTTTCATCTCTAGATCGACTCCAAATGTCTTGAAACGGGCTTAATTGTGCATCAAATGGCCAATATCAGTCCAAATGACCCGAATTTCAGAAGAGCCGACCAAATTCAGTCTAGAAGCAAGTACATCAAATTCCGTGAAATCGGTTCAGATATAGCTATAGCCCCCATACATTTGTTTCATCCAAATATTTGTTCAAGTCCCTCACATGCGGAATATGCACTCCACAACAAACATATTTTATACCGGACATTAGACACAGCTGGGAAATACCTTTGCCAATTTTCGATATCGGTTCAGATTTTTATATACTTTCGATATACATCTTCATTTTACGGTTATTGTTCACCATATACAGGGTGAGATAAAACACTGCAACAAAGTCAAACGCCACAAATTTTACATTTGTTTTAAAAGCAAAAACTGTCGGAAATAGCATGCAATTTTAGAATAACTTTAGATTTGTTCGAATTGGTCAACTTTGGCACGAGTTAAGGCCTTTGTTTGCGTGTCCAAGGCTTTAATACACCCTCCAGAATATTTTCGTGATAATATTCAGCATTTATTCTGATGTCAAGGTCGATTAATACGAGCGCAGAGCGACCATCGGCTTTTATGGCGGCCCACACCATCACCATGGCCGGCGCTTGTGTTCTGGTGGCCAACCGAAGGTGCATCTCTTTGGCAAGTAAACACGATAATTTCGTTTGTTTACAAACTTCTGGACAACCGATGTTTTCTTAGCGGAGAAAACCAAATTCGGCCGTTAATCACTTTCGGTCAAGCGAAGCAACACTTTAGCTCTTTTGGATCTATTTTATTTCAGTTGCGTTGTAAGTTTTTGCACTTTTTGGTATTTCAATGGCTTTAGCCCGAGCTCATTTTTTAATATTTGCCAAATGGAATTGTGCGATATGTTTAGCTCACGAGCCATTTTTCGGCCACTGCGACGACGGTTTCGATCAAGTCGCTTCTTTACTTTTCGAACCATTTCTGCTGTTTTCTTCCGTCCACTTCGTTGACATATGTCGGACTATGCTACCAGTATCACGGTAACGAGCGATGGTACGATACACAAAAGATTTATTCACATTTAAATGCTAGAGTGCTCTAACGATAGCCACTTGTGGTCAGCCAGCCAAATATTAAGAAATCACACTATCACGCTTGAATTCCATCACGAATAACTTCTTTTCTGGAAAATTTTCACCAAAATGCTTTAGTACGCTTGAAAACAATACAATAAGCTGTCACTGGAATCATTTTAACAGCTATCGGACTTAGGAATGACAGCAGTCTGAAGTTTGTTGCAGTTTTTTCATCTCACCCTGTATATGCAAAGACCTTTACACTTTTTTCGATGCGAATACAAACTTCAATACTTAAAACTATGAATTCTAATCGTGGGCCTTTACAATCTGCAGTGCCAAACTATATCAAATTGTGTATTCATATTAATATACAAATGTTATATCCCTTATATTCGTTTTCCATCATCAGAAAAAGAAAGCCGATGAGATTTGATATTATTGTTATATATCTATTGCAAACAATTTTATTAAAAATCTGTCTAAAATCGAAAAAATACCGTTATTTGGGATATATAAGAAAATTTGGACCCACAAAGACAATTTTCTGCCAGAGGGATTAATACCTTTATATAACTTCACATATCCAATTCGAGTGGGAGCTATGTGCTAATTTGGAACTATTTTAAAATATTCTTGCAGACAGATTTATGTTTAGGGAATTCACATTTTGAGTTTTAGACAAGTCCATTTCAAATTATTACTTTGTTGTTTCAAAATGGTCAGGTTTAATCCCATTATTGTTGTTTTTCTAAAAACAGCGTTTGTTTAGTAGTGGAGAACTATGGTAATGTTTATTACAATACGGGATATCGGTAGGTACCGAAGGAGCTATGTAGGCAATTTTCTACCAAAAGAATAATTACTCATTACTATGTTCAAGTTCCAATTTCAAATAAGTTCGTAAAATTTAAAATAGGGGATATTTGGGTGTACCATTTAATATGGGCTGCATGATGTCGTAGTCCAATAATGCCCATCTTGACTTGATCTGCCATCTGATAAAAGACAGTAAAATCTTTGCGTCCCATCACAAGTCCTTGGGCTATCTAACAAATGTCGGTACCCAAATTTGGTAACCAAATTTTTATACCCTCCACCATACATAGTATGGAGGGTATATTAAGTTCGTCATTCCGTTAGTAACTCATCGAAATAATCATTTTAGACCCAACAAAGTATAAATATTCTTAATCAGCGTAAAATTCTAAGACGATTTAGCCCTGTCCGTCCGTCTGTCCTCTCTCTCTCTCTCTTTTGTATGCAGGCAGGTCAAGTTCGAAGATGGGCTATATCGGTCCACGATATCGTGTAGCCCCCATATAACGGTACCCCCGATATTCGGTATTTTGATTATTTTACCCACATTTTTCAACGGAATTGTCTGAAAATCCACACAAGAAGTTCCTTGTGGGTACTTTATCCCTTGGAAGAGGATCGTCTATATAGGTCCACGATATCGTATAGCCCCCATATAACGGTACCCCCGATATTCGGTATTTTGATGATTTGAGTACTTTACCCCCAGACATAGATTTGTCTATATAGGTCCACAATATCGTATATCTTACCATATATCGGAAGCTTCCGATATTAGGTATTTTAAAGATTTTAACAGAATTAGATTTTATTTTTTTGAAAATTTTCTAATTCATTCCAAATGGTGGAGGGTATTCAAAGTTCGGCCCGGCCGAACTTACTGCTTTTTTGCTTGTTAAAAACTCAAAATAATATTTTTTTTCGAATACCATTTCGACATAGGAATATAAAAAAAAAATTGAGAGAGTAGCCATGTGGCCAATCATATTCAAAAATGTATTTTAAATATTAAATCTCGAAAATGGCATCAAAGCATTTTTTCAGATAGCTGATAAAAACAACAAACCTAAAAAATGGAGCTATTAGCATTAATATTAAAAAAAAAATTATGGGGATATTTAGAAAAGACAATATCAGATTAATACGAGATTAATCGAAAAAAAATCTTAAAATATTCTAAAATGTTCTGATGAATTCAAGCCAAAAAAAGTGAAATCAATAATTACTTTTCTCCGAAGTGCCCGATTTCAATTCCCCAAAGTATGTATGGAATTCCATTTAAATATTTTTTTTTTGTATCTGAAATGACTGCTTCGATAATAAATATACATAAAAATTTCCATTTCCACCCCATTAAATTGAAAATAAAACTTCGCTCTATTAGGGTATCCTTTAGTTTGTTAAAATTACTATTTTGCATATATAAACATGGAGCACATTTAAAGTAATTTGCAAATTGTACTGGGTTCGCTGTTTTTTTATTTTTAGCTTTATTTTGCTCTTCGGGCAGTTAGCTAGCTGGCTTCATGGCTTGGTATTTTTGTGTTTAGCTGGCTTTAGTTTCCGTTTCCGCTTAAAAAAAACAGCAGTTCATACAACTGCTAAAGTGGTTGCTTGTTGCAATGGGCATCCAAACGGCACTTCTGTGTCTGCTGCAATTGAATGTTTCTGAATAGAGAACAGTTTGCTCCTTCTTCTCTTGGTTCTGTTTTTTTATTTCTTTCTCTCTATTGCCAAACACATTTAAAAGTCAATTAGATAATTAGAGATTAAGGATATTAGCTATTTGCTAAAGCAAACATACGTACAAATATATTTATTTAGCTTTTTCAATATTGTTGTTGTGAGTTGTTGTTGTTTTTTGCTGATTCTGAAGTTATTAACCTTTCTGTATGTGTTTGTTTTTTGTTCTCTTTACAGCCAATGCCGTTAAATGCAATGAAGGACAGTTCCGTTGTACGACAAGTCATAAATGCATACCCAACAATTGGGTATGCGATGGCGAATTTGATTGTGGCGAATCGGATACATCCGATGAAATTAATTGTAAGTTCATAATGTCGTTGTGTCATAGCCTCACACACCCACATGCACACGTACACATTTTTCGAACCGATGTCCGTTCAGAGTGACCAAGAATGTCAGAAGGATTAACTGACTGATTGGTTAGTTTGTGTCGGAATGCATCGATGACTTGTTGGCTTGGCTGATGGTTATAACCCCAAACTGTGTTCCCTCGACCATTGTTTTATTGCTATTTTTGCTTCTTTGTTTGCTTTATTATTATTTCAGGTCCTTCGGATGCTCTAAAGTGCCTTTCATATCAAAGAGAATGCGGCAATGGCGTTTGTCTGGATATATCCAAGTTCTGTGATGGCTATTGGGATTGTGATAACGATGAACTTAAATGTGGTATGTAGAACTTGCATCTGTATTTTTCTTTTGTCTATATAAAAACTCTCTCTCTCTCACACACACACACATCTATGTACACATGTATGCAGTAAGTTTGTTCAATACTCTTTTGCATATTTGCTTCGGAAAATATGCAATTCATTCCTTTTTTTTTTTTTTGCATCATCCCCCCAGAGGCAATCGGTATGCCACAAACTTGGGGGCTGGGGGGCGAAACGTGAAATAATATCGGGAATACAAATGTGAAAATTTTCCACACCGCGAAGTTTATCCATATGTTAAAAATTCGAAATAGTATTTATTCTTTCTTGCCATATTTACTCAGGAGTGTGAATGCAATGTCCGTTGGCAAAATTTGGGATGGAAGGTGTTTTTTTTAATAAAAATGTGTTGGTGAACAAATCGATGATGCAGCCACTTTTTGGTGGATGTGGCACGAACTCGGGTAGAAGTAATTGATATTTTTCCTCACCACTAGATATTTAAAGCATATATCTATTTTCGAAAAATTGTAAAAGATGACTGAATGCATCATCAAGGTCCGGAAAAAAGCCGAAGGCTAGATTCGGGAAATTTTTTAAGAGCTGTAGGAAAGATTAAATTGATAATATGCTCCATATAATTTAATGTTTGAAGATTATTTCATGTATAATATTGATCGCGATAGTGTCTTAAATGGTTCAGCCACTTAGTCCAATTTCGGCATACTCATTCCAACATTTCAACCGTTATCTCAAAAGTCTTCGGCTAACTACCCAAGAGCCCATTAATCTAATATTCTACGTTACAGTAGGTTCTTCGGCTTCAGTTCTTGCACCAGGTTCGTGTTTTATTGAAAGGCTTCACACCTAAATCCTTTGGAAATAATTTCCACGATCATGAGTAACAGAGGTCCAATTATTGCTAACGCCAATGAATCGATAATTGATAGCCATTATTAACACTTTCAAATAGTGTAGCGCTATTTTCATTACTTCGCACTCTACGAAAGCATGTTGGTCGTTTAATGCCGAAAAATGCAATTTTGAACCAGTTGTTAGCAAAAAGATAATAGCTAAAAATCACCCTTTATTATTTATTTTCCATTTTTTGGGAGAGAATCTTCAAATTTGACAGGGTTTCTTTGACAAATTTGACAAGGTCTCTACTGATACGAAACAGCAGATATGTAGCGTTTTTTAGAAACTCCCAGCAAACAGATATAAGTGCGGTATCCCAAGTCCCAAGTTTTAGGGATTTAAGAACAACTGATTTTATAATTACAGGGTGAGATAAAAAAAATGCAACAAAGTCAAACTCCATAATTTTTACATTTTTTTTGTAATTTTATTGAATGAAAGCAAAAAATATCGGAAATAGCACCAAATTTTAGAATAAGTTTTGATTTGTTCGATTTGGTCACCTTTGGCACGAATTATGGCCTTCGAACGAATTATAACCAATGAAATCGTCACACGCTGCCCGAATGTTGCTCTGCGGTATTTTGACCCATTCCTGGTGAATAGTCCAACGGATTGGTATCAGGAGATTTTGGTGGCTCTTGTGCGCTGGAAATGAAGAGGGGAACCTCATTTTGTAACCATTCTGTCCTGTTGGAATGTCTGCTGCTAAAATGTTTGTGTGCTCAAGGCTTTAATACACCCTCCAGAATATTTTCACGATAATACTCGGCATTTATTCTGACGGTCGATTAATACGAGCGGAGAGCGACCATCGGCTGTTATGACGGCCCACACCATCACCATGGCCGGCACTTGAGTTCGGGTGGCCAACTTAATGTGCACATTTTCAGCTGACCCCTTTGGCAACGCATATTTTCTCATCGGAGAAAACCAAATTCGGCAATTCACCACTTTCGGCCAAGCGAAGCAACTCTTTAGCTCTTTTAAGTCTATTTTCTTTTTCTTGCGGTATAAGTTCTTGCAATTTTTGGAATTTCAATGGCTTTAATTTACCCCATTACTAAATTTAGTACTATTTAGTACAATTATATTACACGTGTTCAATACCAGCTACTTTTCTTAACCACAGGCACCAACAGTGACCTAAATATATACCTTCACCCAATACTAAATTTAGTACAATTAAGTAATTTTCGTACAAAAATAGTACACATTTTCAAAAAAAAAAATTCAAAAAAATCCATATCTCAACCTCAGATACCAACAATGACCTTAATATCAAATTTAAGGATAACAGCTCATTAATTTACCCCATTACCAAATTTAGTAATATTTAGTACAATTATAGTACGTATATCCAAAACCAGCTTATTTTCCCAACCACAGACACCAACAGTGACATCTATATCAAATTTCAGGATTTCAGCTCTATTCCTTTACCAAATACCAAATTTAGTAATTTTCGTACAAGTATAGTACACATTCCCCAAACCATCCCCATATCTCAATTCCAGATACCAACAGAAACCTTAAAAGCAAATTTGAGGATTCCAGCCCTATCTCTTCACCCAGTCCATACCACCGCCAAATCTCAACCACAGATATGATCAGTAATTTAAATATCAAAATTTCAGAACATTATCTCGAACCGTTCGTTCAACCAACCCCAAATTCTGTACAATTTAGTAATTTTCTTTCAATTATACCACACATCTCCAAAACCAGCTCCATATATTCAGGTTACACACCCAACAACAGCAACCCTATGACCAAAATTCAGATTTCAAGCACTATATGTTAACCCAAAACCAAATTGCACCAAATATAGTACTTTTCGTGCACTTGTAGTACACATTTCTAAAACCACCTTTTTATGACGATCCTACTACCAACAGGGACTCCAATACCAAATGGTACCTTTTTTGAAATGTAGTACCATTTTATCACTTTTTGTAATCTTAATGTCCGAATCACCAACAAGGACCTCTATACACAGTTGCAGCTTTTACCTCTTTTTAATAACCCTTAGGTGCATCTCATTCATAATTTCAGAAATCAAGCTCCATCGGTTCATCAAATTATAGTTTGTACCAAATTTAGTACCATTATATACACAATTACAAATTTTCAAAACTTCATACAGACCACAATGCTACACTTCCACAGTAATCCCAATTCCAAATTTTGCTGGTTCGCATAAATACAAATTATACTTTATTAAGTACATTTTAGTACATATAAGTGCAAATTTCCAAAACTACCTACATATCAACCCTACACTCCGACAGTAATCTTATTTATTTTCAGGACATCAGCTCTATTGGTTCACCCAAATCCAAGTTGTTCCAAATTCAGTACAATTTAGTACACTTAATTACAAATTCTCATAACTTCCTACATCATACAGTCCAATAGAATTTTTTTTCAAATTTCAGGATTCCAGCTCCATGGGTTCACACAAATCCAAATTGTACTAAATTTAGTATATTTCGGTACATATAAGTACAATTTCCAAAACTATATCCACATCCCAATCCAACACTCCCACAGTAATCCCAGTTTAAAATTTTAGTATTCCACCCCTATTGGTTCGTCTAAATAAAAATAGTACTTTATTTAGTACATAAACGTACAAATTTCCAACACTACCTACATATCTCAATCCTACACTCCGACAGTAATCTTATTTACAATTTTCAGGATACCACCCCTATTGGTTCACCCAAATCAAAATTGTAGCAAATTTAGTACCACTTAGTAAACATAAGTACGAACTTTCAAAACTACCTACACACTTCAGCCCTAGAATGCAATAGTAATCTTATTACAAAAATTTCAGGGTTCCAACTCCACTGGTTCATCCACAATTTAAATTGTGCCAAATTTGGAACCATATACAATCCTCAGTTCTACAATGTAATAGTAATCTTATTTCAAAATGTTAGGATTCCACCTCTATCGGTTCACCCAAATCGAAATTGTATCAAACTTAGTACCATTTACTACTTTTCGTGCACATAAGTACAAATCTCGAAAACTACCTCCATATCTCAATCCTACACTCCGCCAGTAATTTTAATTTCAAATTTCAGGATTCCAACTCTATTTAGTTCTATTTAGTTCTTTTCGTGTACATTAGTACATACTTTCAACTCCTACTCCTTAACCTTGATTCCCATTCCAAATTTCAAGCTTTTAGCTCTAACCGTTAACTTGATATGAAATGTTAACAAATGTAGTACATTTTAGTACTTTTCGTATACTTATAGTGCGAATTTCAAAAAAACCTTTTGGACATCTATCATACAGTTTATCTGTGGCCCTCATTTAAAATTTAGAAGTTATAGCTCTACTACTTCTTCAAATCCAAATGGTAGCATATTTATTACCTTTTAATACTTTTCGTTCGAATTTCCAAAAACCCAGCCTTATGTGACTCGTTTGGACCAAGAGTGACCCTCACCCAAAATTTCAAGATTCATAGCTCCAGCCGCATTGACGTTGATGAATCGTTAAGTCAGTCAGTCAATTACTTTACTCTTTTATTAATGTAAATAGATTAGTGGAAGAACATTTTATGCTTCTTGTATTCCCTCATTAAAAATTATATATTTTTTATTTATTTGTTTATTTATTTATTTTCTTTTTGTTAATTAAAATATGTCTTACTCTCCATACATATAAATAAATATAATATTGGATCCATTGTTTTTCTGACGCCATTTATTTGAAATTCATGTAATTTCAAAAGAAAATAAGAGACAACTTAACAGGATTGTCACAATTTAGATTTGCCATTTTACACTGACAAATTTTAGCAACGCACACTATTTTCGCTTGGTAACGGAAATACTAACGAACAACACAATATGTTTCTGTATCATAAACACCATAACTTTATTTCCGTTCCAAAAACAGAAAATCATGTTTTTATTATTACAACATGTAGACATTCGTATATACACTTGTGGCCAAAACTAAAGCAACTTAAATCGCAAAGACGATAAATGTCCTGTAACTTTTATAAAAATAAACAAATCGTAATTATTTTTCCAGTTTTAAATGAGGGGTTTAATTCACTTTTAAGAAACTAAAAATAAAAATACAAACATAATTTTGAACGAAAAATAATATGTGGAAAACTGAAATGACCCAATTTTTGCTTGGTCAAAACTAAAGCAACTTTTGATTTTTTATTTTAAAAATTCCCCGAATTCTTTAGAAAATATTGTGCTTATTTATTTCCGAATCTCGCTTGATCTTCCTATCTACGATACTCCCAAGGTTTTCTATGGAGTTTAGGTCAGGTGATTGTGCCGGCCATAACAAAACATCAATTTTTAACTTCCGCAACCAATATTTGACAAGTTTTGATACAAGTTTGGGGTCATTGTCATGCTGAAACACCCAAATCAGCCAAATATTTTATTCAGCGTAAGGGAACAACGTGATGTCCAACACATCTTTGTAAACAAACCGATCCACAACTTCCTTTATTTTATGGATAGGCCCAAGTCCATAGAAAGAAAAACAGCGCCACGCCATTTTTGACCCCCCCTCTTGCTTCACTGTACCTTTGCAACACTTAGGCTTGAGTCCTTCATTTTTTGGTCTTCTCACCGTAAAGTTTTTCACGTCTGAGCCTTTAATATTAAACGTAGACTCATCCCAGAAATAATGTTTGTCCATTGAGCTTGATTCCACTTAATATTATCGTTTCCGAAAGCCTTTTTGATTTTTTCAGATATAAATGGTTTTTTGATGTCTTACGGGCATGCAGACCAGCTGCCACTACTCGTCTACGCACTGATCTCGAGCTTATATCCAATGATTGCTCTCTCACCAATCCAGTTGAACTCTTAAATAGCTGTTTTTTATTTCTCCCACAGTTTGTGGATCAGTACGGGCTGAAGTTTTTCACGGCCTTCATCCGTTATAGACTGATCCAGTTTAAAAAAACCGACTTAGTATACAGAAATAATCATGAAATCACATAAATATTTATGAAATATTTCTCGGAAATCATTTTCTGTGATCTGTTGTTTGGATAGTCAATGATAGTTTGATGTTTTATTCAGGTACTGCATTTGCTTCTAGCCATTTTTAAAATTTTTTTTGGGCAGTACTTAAAAAACGGAAAGAAAAACACATACCGTTGTAAAAAAATTCTCAAAAAGGATTTATGACAAGCGAAATTGTCGAAGGAAGCAAAAAGCGATAAATATCACAGTAAAAACAACTGAAATTGTAGCGGTTATATGAATGTACAACAGAGTTGCTTTTGTTTTGTCCAAGTCAAAATCGGGTTAATTGACTTTACCTAACATTATTTTTTATATAAAAATGAATTTTGGTTTTATGTTTTAGGTTTTTAAAAAGTGAATAAAGTACCTAATTTAAAACAAGAAAAACTTTCTGATTTTCTTAATTTTTGAAAAAGTTACAGGGCATTCATTCTCCTTGTAATTTCAGTTGCTTTAGTTTTGGCCACCAGTGTATATGTGTGTGTGTGTGTGTATTGAATATTATGTTTATTGTTGTTTTTATTCTCTTTTTTCTTTTATAACTCCGATTGCCTGTTTACGTTTCGAAACCATTCAACCAACCAACCAATCTCTTTCTTCTTCCCTTCACACACAGATAAACAAGACGCCGAATGCAGTACCTTAAAATGTTCATTCAACTGCAAGTTGACACCCCAAGGTCCAACATGTTATTGTGCACCCGGACAAATGCCTGTCAATGGAACGCAATGCACGGACTTCGACGAATGCACCATCGAGGGTATATGCGATCATCAGTGTCATAATACACCCGGCTCCTATGAATGTTCCTGTGCACCGGGCTATAGCAAGCAGAAAAATCGCTGTTATGCCATTAATGGTAAGTTCCGTTTGTGCGAGAAAAAAGTTGTTGCTGTTCTTGTTGGCGTTTTGTTGTGATGCGCGAATACAAATTGTTTGTAGTTTTGAAATGGGGGAAAATGTGGGGGGGGAGGTGTATTGTAGCTTTAAGTCATGTTTATGTAAAACATTTGTAACAATTTTTGTTTTTGGTATAATGGTTCATTTTAGGTAGATAGTGTCTTCGGAAATATTATTGACAACCATACGAGCATAACTTTGGTGGAAAAGTTTTGCCGAGATGGAAAACTGTAATCAATTTTCAATGGAAAATTATTCTGGATGGAAATCTGTAATCAATTTTCAATGGAAATTTATGTTCCCAAAGAGCCACCAATCCTCATAAGATTGCAGATTTTTTTTAAAAACTTGAAAATTTGTTTATACCCTCAGCCATATGGCTAGGGAGGGTATATATCAGTTGATACGACAAAAACGTGTCTCATCGAAATAACGGTTTTAGACCCTAGGTCTCTTTGGACCAAATCCGTTTCAGGACATTTGGAGTCGATCTAGAGTTGTGCGACCGTCTGTCTGCCTTGTTGATGATAACACTCGAAGGGAGTATCCGATTTGGTCCAAACTTTGTACATCGTAATATTATTATCAAACTTAGATAGAGTCCGGAGATAGACAATATCGGTCCACTCCTTCTAGTACTTCCCCACAAAAGTCAATATTTTCAAAAAAAAAAAATATTTTATTTTACAGGGTGATATAAAAAAACGGCAACAAAGTCAAACGCCACAATTTTTACTTTTTTAAATTTCATTGAATGAAAGCAAAAAATGTCGGAAATCGCATCAATTTTTTGAATAAGTTTAGATTTGTTCGAATTGGTCACCTTTGGCACGAATTATGGCCTTCAAACGGCCAATGAAACCGTCACACGCTACCCGAATATTGCTCTGCGGTATTTTGACCCATTCCCGACGAAGCGCTTGCTTGAGGTGATTGACACTTTGGTATTTTTAGTTCCAACCTTGCTTTCCAAAATACTTCAGACACAATAGTCCAACGGATTGGTATCCGGATATTTTTGGTGGGCATTGTGCGCTGGAAATGAAGCGAGAAACCTCATTTTGTAACCATTCGGCATTTATTCTTTTGCCACTGTCGATTAATACGAGCGGAGAGCAACCATCAGCTGGTATGGCAGCCCACACCATCACCATGGCCGGCGCTTGAGTTCTGGTGGCCAACCGAAGCTGCACATTTTAAGCTGACCTCTTTGGCAAGTAAACACGATCATTTTGTTTGCTGGACGACGAATGTTTTCTCATTGGAGAAAACGAAATTCGGCAGTTCACCACTTTCGTCAGCAACTCTTTAGCGCTTTTAAGTCTATTTTTTTCTGTTGCGGTGTAAGTTCGTGCACTTTTTGGAATTTCAATGGCTTTACCCCGAGCTAATTTTTCAATATATGCCGAATGGAATATTGCGATATGTTCAGCTCACGAGCCATTTTTCGGCCACTGCGACGGGAGTTTCGATCAATTCGCATCTTTACTTTTCGAACCATTTCTGCTGATGTTGTAGTTTTTCCATCTCACCCTGTACAGATTAAGAATGAAAATCCGATTTGCTCCAATTTCGTAAATCTTAATATTTGTATCAATGCTAGGTCAGGTTAGAAAATTGACAATATCGGTCCACTCCATCAAGTACCTCCACCACAAAGGATCAAAATTTTAAATATTTAATTTAATTAATATCCGATTCCATTCAGATTTTAATAGTTCTATCATCTTAGATCTGTTGTAAAGATAGTCATTCTGGTACCTCCCCCACAAAGGGTCAAAGTTTTGAATAACCAAAGCGATCATAAAATCCAAAATAAGCATACGGTTCCATTCAGACTTGGCAGATCTCAATAGTTCTATCAACTTAAGATCTGTTATAAAGATGGTAGAGAGCGGAGCTTTCCACGTGGTACCTCCCCCACAAAGGGTCAAAGTTTTGAATAACTTAAACGATTATAAAATCCAAAATAGGCATCCGCTTCTCTTCATATTTCAAGTACCCCATTACTTATACTAACCCAAGATCTGCTGTGAAGATGGTAGAAATCGGACCATTCCTTTTGGTACCTCCCTATAAAAGGGTCAAATTTTTGAATAAAACCGACAATTTTTAACTTGTTTTCAATATCCTCATTCTAAATGGAAAATCGTAAACAATATTAAATGGATAAATAAGTTCTTAAAGAGCCACCAATCCTCATCAGATTGCAGATTTTTTTTAAACAACCCTTTTACCCTAAAAATCCTTCCTGCATTTCATAATTACCCCAACTTTAACAATGCCGTATCCTTTTCATTTCTTTCTAGTTCCCAAAGATGAACCAGCCTCATTAGTTTTGATCACACAAACGGATGTACGGCGTATTGATCCAAATAATGGCACCACATTGGCCATTGTTAATGCTCTGGACATCTCAGCCATTGAGATTTGGCATCGCAATAGATCGCTGTGCACCGCCGAGGCTAGTGTATGGACCACAACTGAATTGAAATGCTATCGCATCGATGATATGAATGTAACATGGGCACTGCCGCTGCCGGAACTAATTACAAGTACACATGGTAAGTACCATCCAATCATTATCATCATCATTAGAAGTTAGAAAAAAATCGCATTCATTTGTTTTTTTGTAAAAATCAAACTCACATCAAATCCCATCATCATCATCATCGCCATTGTCATATGATTGACACACATATTTGGCCAGAGTTTAAACACATTTGTATGAAAAGGACATGGTCATTTGGCCGCATCATTGTCTTTCGCCCGTTTCGTTTATTATTGATGTGCTCTTTAAGCCATGTCCAGTGTTAGCCACAGTGAACTGGTTTTTTGTTTTGCTCTCCTTCCCATTCCCACCCCCTTCTGCTCCTCCTTCTGTTCCAATGCAACCCATATATGTCCGCAGTGTGTATACGTGTGTTTGTTTCTGAACGTGGCTCATAACAATGAGACATTGTTATTTGTTATCCTGCTAGCTGTCCATGCTGAATTAATTTCATCTCTTCGTCGTCGTCATCGTCATCGAATTCATCATCATCATCGTCCTCGAAACATTCATTCTCTGTCATCATCGTTGCATGTGTATTATCTTCATTTGTTGTACTCATTTTTTTTTTTTTTTTTGTATTTTTGGCAGCCATCGATAAATTACGTCTCGATTGGATAACTGGCAATTGGTATATTTTGGGTAATGAGCCCGGTTCTATATTTGTGTGCACAAATACAATGGAATATTGCAGCATTATACTGAAGGATGTTCTGAATCTATCATCGCTGGTATTGGATCCAACAAAAGGGTAAGTTTTTTTTACAATCATGCCAAATGGGGAGGGTGGTGTAATCAGTTTGGTGAAAATATGAAACTCAAATAAAATCGGTTATTTAATAATATATCTAGGTGATTTTGAAAGTAAAGCTAAAAATAAAAGGCAAGTGTATGGGCGTTTGGAAAGTTTACAACGCAAAGTAACCCAAAGAGAGAAAGAGAGAAAAGGAGGGCATGTTCACCCTCTTCGACATTTTTTGGAATCGGATTAATTTTCCTTCAAATTCTTGCATTTTTGATATATTGTGTTTCCGGGAATATTACTGATAACAATTCTAATAGCCTATTTTTGTAAAAAAAAGTTACAAAAACTCTCGTCCATTTCCGAAAAGCTTTGATATGTCAGGGTTTCCATAACCATTATTTTCTTAATTTTTTATATAATTTCATTAGGAGTTGTGATGATTGTAGCAGCCCCAATAAATGCAAATTTGGTCACAAATTTGTAAAATAAAATTTAAAAATGTTGAGAAAACATTTAAAAAATGTAGTCCTGACAGATCCGCTAACAAAAACTTTATATGTAAAAATATTGTTACAAAAACGGACTGTAAGTTTAGTTAGGTCGAAAATGGAACAGTGTGGCTTGTTTGTTCGGGACACCGTAGTATTTTGTTGTTGCAAAATGGTCAGGCTTTATCCCTTTATTGATGTTTTTATAAAGACAACGTTTGTTTATTAGTAGAGAACGATGGTAATGTTTACCAAGGGGTAACGCAGGGAATACCTAGGTTTCGGTTTGTTTTTTGTCTGGGATATTCTCCCCAGAAGTTATTTTAAAAATAACTTCTATGACAAAAAACATTTTTTTACCCAAGTGACGAGATCGTAAGCTCAATAAAAGAGGAACCAAAGAGTTAAATAAAATTAAAATTCTTTTGGAAAGTCTTCTAAATCTTACAACCGCACTTATAAACATTTACATCTTTCTCCACTTGTTATGCTTTCGTTCAACATGACCGAAGTAGCATAACCATGTAATCCTCAAGCGAGTCAAGAAAGTTGTATTTTTGTTCCTTTTTTCAGTATATGGTTAAAATTTTTCTTGAAACGGGATGGTAGCAAGTCAAAATATTCTACAAAATGATTCGTCATAATTCTGCTATAGGTCCTAGAAGACATCAAGGATCTTAATCTTACCTAAACGCCAAGAATTTTTAAGTATTAAAATCACATTTTTGGATTAAAATCGTACTTCACGTGATTTTATGACAAATTCTCCTGCAAAGCATCATTTTAGAGGGATGAAGTCAAAGTCAAAAATGTTCTTCATTTAATTTCACTATAAGTCACCACAGAAAAGAAATGTCTGTTTCCATTATAGAAGACATCAAGGGTCTAAATTTTGCTTAAAGCCAGGAATTTGTAAATGGTAAAAAATGCATTTTAAAGTTTGGGTCCCATTCATCATGGGAATTTTTGCCGAATATTCTACATCAAATTTCATTAAAAGTGTCTGAACAAAGGATACAAGGTGAGATAAAAAAAAACTTCAACAAACTTAAACGCCATAATTTCTACATCTTTTTTTAAATTTTAGTGAATGAAAGCAAAAATTGTCGGAAATAGCATTCCGTTTTAGAATAAGTTTAGATTTGTTCGAATTGGTCACCTATGGCACAAATTATGGCCTTCAAACGGCCAATGAAAACGTCACACACTGCCGAATTTTGCTCTGTGGTATTTTGACCCACTCCCGGCGAAGCGCTTGCTTGAGGTGATCAACAATTTGGTATTTTTTAGTGTCAACCTTGCTTTCCAAAATATTCCAGACACAATAGTATAACGGATTGGTATCCGGAGATTTTGGTGGCCATTGTGCACTGTAAATGAAGCGAGGAACCTCATTTTGTAACCATTCTTGGATGGCGCGTGCTGAGTGCTGTTGGAATGTCCAAGGTCTGCGGCCAAAATGTTTGCGTGCCCAAGGTTTTAAAACACCCTCCAGAATATTTTCGCGATAATTGAATTGAATGTAAGAAAATGAAATGAAAATATTCGGAATTTATTCTGATGCCACGGTCGATTAATAAGATTAATCACCATGGCCGCCGCCTGAGTTCTGATGGGCAACCGAAGGTGTACATTTTCAGCTGACCTCTTGGGCAAGTACACACGATCATTTTCATTGTTTACAAACTACTGGACAATGAATCTTTTCTCATCGGGGAAAACCGAATTCGGCAGTTCACCACTTTCGGCCAAGCGAAGCAAGTCTTTAGCTCTTTTGAGTCTATTTTCTTTCTGTTGCGGTGTAAGTTCACTTTTTTGAATTTCAATGGCTTTACCCCGAGCTCATTTTTCAATATTTTCCGAATGGAATATTGCGATATGTTCAGCTCACGAGGCAATTTCGGCCACTGCAACGCGGGTTTCGATCAAGTCGCTTCTTGACTTTTCGAACCATTTCTGCTGATGTTGCTGTTTTCTTCCATCCACTTCCTTGACGTCGGGCTATGCTACCATTATCACACGTAACGAGCGATTTATTCACATTTAATTGCTGGAGTACTCTAACGATAGCCACTTGTGGTTTTCCAGCCAAATATAAAGAAATCACACTATCAGGCTTGAATTTCATTGCAAATAAATTTTTTTCTGGAAAATTCTCACCAAAATGCTTTTGTACGCTTGTAAACAATATAATGAGCTGTCAGGGGAATAATTTTAACAGCTGTCGGACGAGTGGCTGAGAAATGACAGCAGTGTGAAGTTGGTTGCAGTTTTTTTATCTCACCCTGTATTTATTTACCTTGTATGTACCGCCAACAAATATCAGCAATTTTGGTTTTTAAAAACCGTTTCTATTTTTTGACAAATTTAGCTCTTTTTTCGAATTTACCGCAATTTGTCTCAAAATGCCCCAATATTTTGAGATAAATTTTGCAACATTTAATACATATGTTTGAAAATGTATAGAGAGCTTTAGATTAATTCAAGAAAAATTGGTTTGAATTATAGATCTTCTTTGGCATAGTCACTATATAGACCTCTATTACATAATTTCTTACGTTTTAGTAATTTTTTCCATTTGTATTTTTACAATTTTTTTTACAAATTTGTTGAGTTGTTGTCATGTATATAATAATATAGATCTATTTTTTATATAATTTATTTTGTTTAATTTAGTTTATTTATTTATTTATTTATTTATTTTTTTTTTTTTTTTTTTGGTATAGCCCCTGTACACCTGATGTCAGTTATTGCTAGGGTTTTGGTTACATTTTTCAATTAATTAGGCTTAAAAAATTCATTTTGGATTCTTTGGGGATTGAAAACCTTCCGACAAAATGTATTTTATTTAACTGTAAAATAAAGGGCCCCAATATAGGCTTATGTTTATTAAAATTAAAAGTTTATCTGGGAATTAAAAACCGTTTTGGAGTTTAGCTTTTCTGAAACAACTCCACAGAGAATTTGTGGCGCACCATACCAAAATTGCAAACCTGAACTTCAGCTGTTCCATTATATGGGGGCTTCTTGCGCGTTGCTACCCCTTTTGCTCTTATATGCATTCAAAATTTCATATACAAATATTTTGTGGTTTGTGGAAACAAATTCAAGAATTTATAAACATTTTTTTTTCGGGAGCGTAAACAACCATATCGATTGGTCTACCCTCACCATGAGAAAAGCAGGAAGATGCTTAATTCAGTCCTTATATAGAAGAGTTCGTTCTGGGATTTATTAATTGTCAAATTCAAAAATTCAAACTTTGACATACATAGCGTGTTTGTCCTATCAAATACATGAAATCGACCGCAAATGTATATGTGAGCTATATCCAAATCTAAACCGATTCTAATATAACTTGGCAAATTTATTTTTATTCCAAATTCCGTTATACATTCCAAATTTAATTGAAAAATTGTTAGACCGGATTTCTTCAGATATTCGAAATTTTATTGAAATTGGGGATACAAAGCGTGTTTTGTGCATCAAATACATGAAATCGGCCGAAAATATATATTGAAAATATATACAAATCTGAACCGATTTCAATAGAATTTGGCAAACTTGTTTTTGTTCCAAATTCCGTTATACATTCCATATTTAATTGAAAAATTGTTAGACCGGATTTCTTCAGATATTCGAAATTTTATTGAAATTGGGGATACAAAGCGTATTTTGCGCATCAAATACATGAAATCGGCCGAAAATATATATTAAAGCTATATCCAAATCTGAACCGATTTCAATATAATCTGGTAAATTTGTTTTTGTTCCATATTCCGATACACATTGTAAATTTGGAGATTGTGGGTGTAATCGAACAATAGTTATGTGTATATAAAATCAAAACGTTCTGCACCCTCCGCCATTCCATGGAGAGTCTGTTGAAATCACGCTATCTTTCGAACGAGTTGAGATAGAAGGCTAAAATTTTGCATACATGCATAGTAGGGAGGTTAAATTCGTAAATAGGCCATGTCGGTCCACGCTTTCGGATAGCCCCCATATAACGGTATACCGATAGTCGGTATAGGTATCTCCCGATATTCGGTATTTTCATGACTTCAGCGAAATTATTTACCGGAATTATTTCAAATTTCATATTTAAAGTTCGTAATTGGTACTACAGCCTATGACGAAAATTTTTGTATGCAGGTCCACGTCTTCGTATAGCCCCCAAATAACGGTACCTCCCGATATTCGATATTTTCACGATTTTAGTGACATTATTTACCGGAATTATTTCAAATTTCGGATTTAAAGATCTAATGGGTACTACAGCCTATGAGAAAAACATTCGTGTGCAGGTTCACGTTTTCGTATATCCACCATATAACGGCACCTCCCAATATTCGGTATGTTTATGATTTAAGCAACATTATTGACGGGAATTATTTCAAATTTCGTATTTGAAGTTCGTACAGCCTATGACAAAAAAATTCGTAAGCAGGTCCACGTCTTCGTAATAGTCCCCATATAACGGTTTTCATTTAACAGGTAGTTTTCGGTTTTTTTTTTTTTAATTTTTTCAAGTTTCTTCGAAATGGTGGAGGGTATTAAAAGTTCGGCCCGTCTGAACTTAGCTGCTTTTTTACTTTTTAATATTTATGAATTCTTGGCGTTAGGGTAAGACTTAGACTTTTAATGTCTTTTGGGCCTATAATAGAAATTTATGGCAAATAGTTTTGTAGAATATTTTGTCTTGTTGCGATCCTGTTTAGAGGGAGTTTTTAAGCATTTTTTTAAAAAGGACAAAAAAGACCCATTTGGTGACTCACATGAGGGTTAAAATTTTTGATCGAAATAGTCTTCGTATTGTTGTCTGCGATGTTGCCGAAGACATTTTATACCTAAAATGTAAGGATTCCAAGAAAACTTAAATCTAAAATCCAAAAAAAAAATTGTGAAAGAGGGGAGAACATGCCTCTTTAATTTAGATTACTTTGCCATGTAAACTTTCAAAATGTCTGTTTTAAGCTCTACTTTCATAATCCGCTGGATTTTTCTTGTAATTTTTCTGAAAATTTTATTTTGTCATACAGTGTAACTAAAGGAATTGCTCTGTTCCATAATCTGCAAGAATCTACTATTTTTGCAATTTTCTATTTGTGATATCGAAAAAAAAAAATTAAAACTAGGTGATTCTTGCAGGTTCTGGAACAGCCCATATATTGGCAAAACTCATATTTATTTTAATTTCATCGAATGTTATCCATCTTCAAATAACCTTTCAAATTATACCAAACTCTTTATTCCACCCAGCATTTTGTAAAAGTAATCAAATATTTTATGCCGTCACCATCACCACATGAATTATATCCATGATTGGCGGCCAAATAATTGATGGAAAATTTTTTTAAATTCATAATTTTTATTTTATTAACGTGTTGTCATTGTTGTTGTTATTGCTGTCGTCATTAATATATTCCATCAACGTCCATTTCTTGCAGTTTCATATTTTTCACCGAATGGAGTTCCAGTCTATCACGTGCAAATCTGGATGGCACGAATTATACCCAGCTAGTTACCACACGGATTTACTATCCCAGCAAACTGGCAGTGGATTTGGCCAACGAACATGTCTATTGGCTGGATGTCTACAAGGATTTCATTGAACGAGTCGATTACGATGGACGCAATCGATGGGCCATGAAAAAGGCGTCCGATGTAAGTAGTATTAGTATGTTTTCCAGGGCTGGGCAGTTGGTTTGCGGAGGCATTGGGTTGTTGATTCAGTCAAATGAATCCCCGATGTGGCGTTGTATGTAAATACAGACATTCGTAGCGTAGAAATGTGAGCGAGCGAGTTGTTGTTGTTGGAACTACAGTTCGTTCTGTGCTGATGCACAGTAAGCAGCTCGTTAATGGCTGCTGATTTGCGGCATTGGTGGTGGTAGTTGGTTTGGTGATGGTCATCACGCTGCCTCGTGATGATGAAAATGCAAAGTTTTTTCCCTTTTTTGGTTCTTGTTGTTTTTCTTTGTGTTTTTGTGTCCAGTGAAATCCTTGGTTTGGTTTTATTTTTATGTTGCTTACCAATACCTTGAATGCTGAAATATTCACAAGCTTGTCTGACTGACTGGTCAGATAACTCTGTTCGCTCTGTTCTATCTGCCCGACCACCACCACATTTCGACTTTTGCATGAATCGCAGCTTATGGCCGATTTTTGGCCATTCATTTACGTCAATGCCGAGTCCATAAACCAGCATTAAATCGTATAAATTTTAATTAACGCCGAGTGTAATTAAAACTGATTTTTATTATACACAGTTGAATTGTTTGAGAGTTGAAAAGAGAGAAAAGAGGCTTGACCGGGCTGGCTGGCTGGATATCATTTTTTTAAATATATCCTCTTATAGGGATATAAATAATGAGAGAGAGTTTGAAAGTAAAGTTTATTTGATGTACGCATTAAAAATGGAATAAAAAAGAAAGAGGACAATTTTAATGCCAAGTGTGGACCCAGTGTTTAAGAATGGATATTTCCACAGTAGAAAATATAATACAAGCAAAAAACTTATCAAGAGAATCAAGTCTACCTGGAGTGTTCGAAAAAGAAAATAATGTAATGTATTCTCTCATGTGGAAAACTTCAAAATTGAATATACTTTAGATATTGTTATGAAAAATTGCTGATCATCTCAAATTTACGCATACTACTTTTTCCGCCAAAAAGTCTCTCAAAGAGGATATTAGTAAAACCATTGCACATGGGTCCCCCTCCCAATTTTTCTGTCCAAAACTATTTCAACATCTCCATATGTAAACCCTACCCTCAATGTCAGCTCTATCCCAATATCAATACCCAATACCAACTTTAGTAACATTTAGTACGCATATCCAAAAAAAACTAAATTTCTCCATTCTAAACAGCAACAGTGATTCAAAATTAGTACCATTTAGAACTTTTCGAACAAATTTATTACGCATATGCAAAACCACCACCAGATCTCAATACTTGATACCAACAGAGACATTAATATAAAATTTCGCTATTCCGGCTCTATGTATTCAATACCAAATTTAGTAGCATATAGAGTGAGATAAGAAACTGAAACAAAGTCAAAAGCCATAATTTTTACATTTAAAAATTAAAGCAAAAAATGTCGGAAATAGATTAGATTTCTTCAAATTGGTCACCTTTGGCATGAATTATGGCCTTCAAACGGCCAGCGGTCACACGCTGGCCGAATGTTGCTCTGCGGTATCTTGGCCCATTCCCGGCGAAGCGCTTGCTTGAGGTGATCGACACTTTGGTATTTTTTAGTGCAAAACTTGCTTTCCAAAAAATACTCCAGACTCAATAGTCCAACGGATTGGTATCCGGAGATTTTGGTGGCCATTGTGCGCTGGAAATGAAGCGAGTAACCTCATGGGTGGCGCGTGCAGAGTGCGATGGTGCTGAGTCCTGTTGGAATGTCCAAGGTCTGCGGCCAAATGTCCAAAATATTTTTGCGATAATATTCGGCATTTATTCTGATGCCATGGTCGATTAATACCTACCTGACCTCTTTGGCAAAATCACTTCTTTATCACAAACCTACCACCAACAGAAACCTCAACATCAAATTTTGTAATATCTATCCCTCTCTCTCTCAATACCCAATTTAGTACCACTTAGTACTTTTCGAAAAATTGTAGTACACATTTCCAAACCCTCTCCATATCTTAACTACAGACACCAACGGTGGCATTTTTATCAAATTTCAGGATTTCAGCTCTACTCCTTCAACCAACACAAAATTGTACCAAATATAGTACTTTTCGTACTATAATAGTACTCATTTCTAAACCCACATCCATATCTGAATTCCAGATATCAACCGTCGCCTCAATATAAAATTTGAGGATTCCAGCTCTATTAGCCTTCACGCAATACCAAATTTAGTACCATTTAGTACTTTTCGTACAAATATGTAGGTAGCATTTCCAAACCGCCGCCAAATCTCAAACACAAATAACATCAGGAATCTAAATATATCAGATTTCAGAATTGTCACTCTATGCTTTCAACCAAGACTAAATATCGTACCATTTAGTACTTTTCGTACAAATATAATACACACTTGCAAAACCACCTCCATGTGTCCAATCTACACATTAACAGCGACCCTAATACAAAATTTCAGATTTCAAGCACTATCTATTCACCCAATATCAAATTATACCAAATATTGTACTATTTAGTACTATTCGTGCATGTGTAGCACTCATTAGCAAAACCACATCCTACCACCAACAGGAACCTAAATATCAAATTTAGGGACTCCAGCTCCATCCCTTCATCCAATATCAAATTTAGAAATATTTAGTACTTTTCGGACAATTACAGTACACATCTCCATATCTTAACTACAGACACCAACGGTGATATCTTTATCAAATTTCCGGATTTTAGCTCTACTCCTTCCGTCAACACAAAATTGTACCATTTAGTACTTTTCGTACGATTATAGTACACATTTCCAAAGTCACCTCCATATGTCCAATCTACACATTAATAGCGACCCTAATACCAATTTTCACATTTCAAGCACTACCAGTTCACAAAATACCTAATTGTACTATTTAGTACTTTTCGTGGACTTTTCGTACACATTTCCCAAGTTCACCTTTTTACCACAAACCTATTAAGAACAGACACCTCAATATCAAATTTCAGGATTTAGTACCACTTAGTACTTTGCGATCAATTATAGTACACATTTCCAAAACCACTTCCATTTCTCAAGTCCCAATACCAACACAATACAACACTTAGTACTATTTTCAAATTGTATCAAATTTGGCGTTTGAAGTTCGTAATGGAGACTGCAGCCTATGACAGAAGCCCCAACATAACGGTACCTCCCTATATTCGGTATTTTGGTGATTTTAGCTACATTATGTACCGAATATTTTTATTCAAGTTTCGCATTTGAATATTGTAATGGTTTATGACAAATGTTGCCTATGTAGGTGCACGTCGTTGTATAGACTCTAATATAACGGCTACATTCGGTATTTTTAAGATTTTAACATAAATTTTAACGGATTTTTTTTTTTTTTTTTTTTTTTTGAAAATTGCCAAAATCGTTCCAAATGGTGGAGAGTATTCAAAGATCGGCTCGGCCGAATTTGCTCTTTTTTTTCTTTTTATACCCTCCACTATAGTATGGAGGGTATATTAAGTTTGTCATTCCGTTTGTAACACTTCGAAATACATATTTTAGACCCCACAGAGTATATAAATTCTTGATCAGCATAAAATTCTATGTCGATTTAGCGATGTCCGTCCGTCTATCCGTCTGTGGAAATCACTCTAGCTTTCGAACGAAATGAAGTAGGTAGATAAAAGTTTACTCAAATGTGTATTATGTCTGCAGGACTTTTGGTATAGAAAATGGGCCATGTAGGTCCACGTCTTCGTATAGCCCCCATATAATTGTACCCCCCAATATTCAGTATTTTGATGATTTTAGCAACATTATTTACCGGAATTGTTTCAAATTTTATATTTGAAGTTCGGCATAGATACTACAACATAAAAAAGAAAATGGGCCATGTAGGTCTACTTCTTCGTATATCCCCCGTATAACGGTACCCCCCGATATTCGGTCTTCTGATGATTTTAGTGACATTATTTACCAGAATTTTTTCAAACTTGGTATTTGAAGTTCGTAATAGATACTACAGCATAAAACAGAAAATGGATCATGCCGGTCCATTTCTTCGTATGGCCCCCATATAACGGCACCCTCCGATATTCGGTATTCTGATGATTTTAGCGACATTATTTAACGGAATTGTTTCAAGTTTGGTATTTGAAGTTCGTAATAGACACTACAGCATAAAACAGAAAATGGGCCATGTAGGTCAACTTCTTCGTATAGGCCCCATATAACGGTACCTCCCGATTTTCGATATTCTGATGATTTTAGCGACATTATTTACCGGAATTGTTTCAACTTTCGCATTTGAAGTTCGTAATGGATACTACAGCCTATGACAAAAAATTGTCTGTGCAGGTCCACGTTTTACAACTTCCATGGTTCTTCCCTATATTCGGAATGTTGATGATTTTAGCTACATTATAAACAGATTTTTTTCAAGTTTCAAGTTTTTCATTTAAATATTGTAATAGCTTGTGACAAAAGACTGTATGCAGTTTATTTATTTATTTATTTTATTTATTATTATTATTATTTTTTTTTATTTTATTATTATTTTTTTTTTTTTGAAAATTGCCAATATCCTTCCAAATGGTGGAAAGTATTCAAAGATCAGCCCGGCCGAAGTTACTTTTTTACTTGTTCTTTTTTTTTTTTTTTTTTTTTGTTAAAATTTTACGATTTTTTATTTTATTGGGTTGTTGTTTAAAACTTTGTCACATTGGCTGTAACTGGGCAACAATATTCAAAACCCCCTGTTAGTGTACTTAAATATGTGTTCATCCATACATTTATTCCTTTCCAGGTTCACATTCCTTTGAAATCCATTCATGCTGTTGAGATTTTTGAAAATAATGTTTATCTCGGCTTATGGAGCGATGACATGGTCATTGCTTTGGATAAATTCTCCTTAAAGGCGAAACAAGTAATAAAAAATGTCAAACGGACACATGACTTCAGAATGTTTCATCGCCAAAAACAGCCCGAAGGTAAGTTCTCCACTATTTAACTAAACACAATATATATCAAAATTTTTAACAATTCAAACATTTTTCAAAATTTATTACATGTCACACATACATGAATATTTTTGATGCTGTTAAATGTTCGTTCGCCTGTTTGTTTTTTTTTTTAATAAACTGAAAACAATATTTCTTTTCTTCCGTTTGCGCTTTTATTATTATCCTTTGTATGTACGTTATCCAGTGGCACATCCTTGTCGCGTTAACAATGGCATGTGCAGCCAAATATGTGTCCCATTGTGGACAAAGGGATTTGCTCGAGCGACCTGCATGTGCTCGCCGGGCTATAAATTACGCAACAACACCGAATGTGAATTCGTACGCTATGAGAAATTCCTGCTGTTGGGTCGGCAACGTTTGTCCAGCATAGCGGGAATACCGTTAAATGCCCAGGAACAAGTAGTCGAGGCCATGGTACCCATTTATAATGTCACATGGATTATGCCGCTCGACATTAATGTGCATCGCAAGCAGGTCTATTATGTGCAACAACAAAAGTAGGTCGAACAAGAGAACGCCTGGTACTTTATGGGCTAAAATATTGAATGATTTTTTGTGTTTTTTTCCGTTGTTTTTTTAGAAGCGGTTATAGTTTACATAGCCGTTCCACAGATGGCATGGAACGCAGCGTATTGGCCAACGGCAATGAAACGATTTCCGTGTTGGCATTCGACTGGCTAACTGGCAACATGTACTGGGGTGGTGCAGATTATATATTTGTTGCTCCAGTCTCGAACATGTCCAAGGTGTTGTCTTTGCCCCTGCGACATGAAGCTATGTAAGTATGCCACATTTGCATATTGTTTGGAAGAGTTATTGGCAAGTAATTCTGTTCTCTTTTTGTATTTTCAGGAGTTTGGCCTTGGATCCCAGTAGCGGCTATATGTTCTGGGCCCATTGGACGGCAAATGAAAATAAAGCTTCCATTTATCGTGCCTGGTTGGATGGATCCCACAGAGAAATGATGACCGAGGCCAGTGCGGATAAGCCTATGACATGGCCTTTGAGTTTGAATATCGATGTACAGCATAAAAAGGTGTATTGGTGAGTATTTTTGAGAGTACTATGTTTGGTGTCTCTCCCAGCCGGTTCGGAAGTAAATTGATTCCTAAATAAGAGGAATTAAAAAGACAATTAAACTTTATAATATAAAGAAAATATCCGGAAAAATGCAGTAAACTATGAAAGTAGAGCTAACAAGTAAACAAGCAGCTAAGTTCAGCCGAGCCGAACTTTTTATATTCTTCGTAATTCGGAAGGAACTTGAATAATTTCAAAAAAACCGGCGAAAAATACCGTTAAAATGAAAAACTTTATATGAGCGTTATACGAAGACATGGTGCTGGATATGTGATTTTTGTAAAGATTCCGAACTTCAAATACGAAATTCAAAACAATTCCGGTAAATAATGTCGTTAATATCAACAAAAAACAAATTTCGGGAGGTACCGTTATATTAGGGCTATACAAAGACGTGGATCTTCACAGACAATTTTCTGTCATTGACTGTAATATCCATTACGAACTTCAAATACCGATTGATCCGGAGAACTATCCCGGTAAATAATGTCGCTAAAATCATGAAAACACCGAATATCTGGAGATGCCGTTATATGGGTGCTATACTTAAACGTAGACCTATATAGACATTTCTCTTCCAGGGGGACCTCCTTGCGTGGATTTTCAGACTATTCCATTGAAAATGTGGCTAAATCATCACATTACCGAATATCGGGGGGCCATTGTATGGGGGCTATACCATATCGTGGACCTACATAGAAAATTCTTCTTCAGGGGGTAAAGTACTCCCTAAGGAACTTCCTATCTTTATACGTTTATTCTAGCGAGATTACAACAGACGGATGGACGTACAGGGCTTAATCGTCTTAGAATTAAGCTGATCAGGAATACAGGATGAGATGCCCCACACCACACCCTACACCACAAGGTGGTCAGGGTATTATGTCTTTGTGCATTTGTTTGTAACAGGGAAAAGGAAACGAGACAAACCCATAGTTCCTTTTGATTATCTGTATAGAATCACATTCTGAATCGATTTATGCCTGTCCGTCCGTTCGTCTGTCCATGTATTTTTATAAACAAAGTACAGGTCGCATCTATTGCCCGATCCAGATGAAATTTTGCTAAAATAATTGATTTGACCCAATGTCGAACCCTATTGAAATTGGTTATCGGTTAAAATTTTGGTAGTATGAAATTTTGCACATACGACCAGATTAGGACTGAAAATAAGTATGCCAAATTCGGTTCAGATATCGCTATAGCTCCCATATATATTGTTCATCCGATTTGTTATTTTTGCCGTCAGCAGCCGCAATATGCACTCTGTTACAACGATATTTGAGAAATATATCAAATACAACTCAGAAATACATTTGCTAAATTTTATCGAGATCGGTTCAGATTTGGATATAGCTCCAATACAGGGTGTGATAAAAAAACTGCAACAAAGTCAAACGCCATAATTTTCAATAAAACCGTCACACGCTGCCCGAATGTTGCTCTGCGCTATTTTGGCCCATTCCCGGCGAAGCGCTTGCTTGAGGTGATCGACACTTTGGTACTTTTTAGTGCCAACCTTGCTTACCAAAATACTCCAGACACAATAGTCAAACGGATTGGTATCTGGAGATTTAGGTGGCCATTGTGCGCTGGAAATGAAGCGAGGAACCTCATTTTGTGCTCAAGGCTTCAATACACCCTCCAGAATATTTTCGCGAAAATATTCCGCATTTATTCTGATACCCCGGTCGATTAATACGAGCGTAGAGCGACCATCGGCTATTATGGGGGCCCACACCATCACCATGGCCGGCGCTTTATTTCTGGTGGCCAACCGAAGGTACACATTTTCAGCTGACCTCTTTGGCAAAGTAAACACGTTCATTTTGTTTGTGTACAAACTGCTGGACAACGAATGTTTTCTCATCGGAGAAAACCAAATTCGGCAGATCACCATTTTCGGCCAAGCGTAACAACTCTTTAGCTCTTTTGAGTCTATTTTCTTTCTGTTGCGGGTTGAGTTCTTGCACTTTTTGGAATTTCAATGGCATTATCCCGGGTTCATTTTTCAATATTTGCCGAATGGAATGTTGCGACCCATTTCTCGGCTACTGCAACACTGGTTTCGATCAAGTCGTTTCTTTACTTTTCGAACCATTTCTGCTGATGTTGTTGTTTTCTTCCGTCCACTTCCTTGACATCGGGCTACGCTAAAAGTATCATGGTAACGAGCGATAGTACGAGACACAAAAGATTTATTCACATTTAAATGCTGGAGGGCTCTAACGATAGCCACTTGTGGGTTTCCAGCCAAATATAAGCAAATCGCACTATCACGCTTGAATTCCATCACGAATAACTATTTTTCTGGAAAATTCTTACCAAAATGCATTTGTACGCTTGTAAACAATATAATGAGCTGTCTGTCAGTGGAATAATTCTAAGATCTATCGGACGAGTTACTTAGAAATGACAGCAGTCTGAAGTTGGTTGCAGTTTTTTCATCTAACCCTGTGTATCCAATTTTAAAGTTAGCTCCCAAATTTATATGCAATATTGAAATTCTTTTCCATTAATAGAAATTGTAACTTTTTCCCCTTCGTAGGTGCGACGTGAAAGAAGGCACAATCGAACGCATGAATTTCGATGGCACGGATCGCGAGATAATCTTCAAAGACCCCGAACATCATCCCACATCTATTGCCTATCACAAGGGTACCATTTATTGGGTGGATGCCCGAAATGGTACAGTTCGTAGCTTTTCCACTCATCATCTGAATGGCACCATCAAAAATAATGACAACTCTAAGGTGTTTTCGGTGGAACGAGGACGTTCCTCCAATTTGAAGGTATTCGATGTCAGCACCCAACCAAGTTCGCTAAATAATGCCTGTGTCAAGAGTAAATGTCCCGGCATATGTTTTAATACCCCGAATCAATCGATATGCCGTTGTCCAGATAAATATTCTCTGAACGGTACTGGCACCCAGTGTATTCCCTATCCACAGGACACGGAGAAAAAGGCCATGAATTGTTCGTCGGGATTCCAGTGTCTAAAGTCGGAGCAGTGTGTCGATGTAAAGGACTTGTGTGATGGATTCGATGACTGCAACGATGGCAGTGATGAGAGCAGTGCTCCCGGTGGTCCCTGTGATCCCAAGAAATGCGATTTAAATCTGCACTTCACCTGCAACAATCGTTGCTATCAACGAGCCCTGCTGTGTAGTTCGATTAGTTATTGTCCGGATGGTACGGATCAATTGAATTGCGAAAGTCACACCTGTAACAGCAATGAGTTCACCTGTGCCAAGAGTGGCAAATGCATACAGTTGTCGTGGGTGAATGATGGCATAGCCGACTGCGGACCCGATGATTCCTCAGACGAATATGGAGATGTTTTGATCGATGACAAATGCCCGGAGTTTGAGTGCCGTAATGGAGTTTGTAGACCCTTTTCCGATATTTGCGATGGGTTGGATCAATGTGGGTAAGTAGTTGTCAGGAATATCTTTCTTGTATCTTCGTTTCTTATGCATCCCTTTTTTGCAGTGACAATTCCGATGAGGTTGCCTGTGAGTATGATTGTGGTCCCAATGAGCGTTATTGCCTTCCGCTGGGCTGCTATGACGAGAGCCACATCTGTGATGGCATTACCGATTGTTTGGATTTCAGCGATGAAATGAATTGTAATGAGACCAAATCCGATCATCATGTCATCGATTTGGGTGAGGCCCACTTTTGTGCACCCTTTGAATTTGCCTGCTCCGATCCCTTTGAATGTATACCACATTTCTTCTATTGCGATGGCATACCACACTGCTACGACAAATCCGATGAACTTAACTGTACCCAAATAAAGCCACCTGCGAAGGACTTCAATGAGACTGTGATATGCGAGGCACCCGATCGTTACTGTGCCGAATCGAATAAATGCATTTCGGTAAAACAGCTGTGCGATGGTAATATCGATTGCGGAGATGGCACAGATGAGGGTTATTTGTGTTCGCAGAAAATGTGCGAAAGATCTGATACGCAATGTTCCCATTATTGTCATAATGCTCCGGAGGGTTTCTTCTGTTCCTGCCCAGCCCACATGTATTTACTGCCCAATGGACGGCGCTGCAGCATGCAACATGCCTGTGAACATTGGGACTCGTGCTCGCAAATTTGTGTAACCCAAGGCAAGGGCTACAAATGTAAGTGTTTCGAGGGCTATGATCTGCAATACGATCGCTATACATGCAAAAGTACAGCTCCCGATGATCCCTATGTTATCTACACAAATCGCCAGGAGATCCGTGGTTTGAATCTGAAAAAATCCACCATTAGTAACTTTTATGCTTCGTTGCGGAACACCATTGCCTTGGATTTCCTCTACAACAATGTTTCGAGTCAAATATTTTGGACTGATGTCATAGATGACAAAATCTACCGAGGTCAGTTGGTGGGCGAATCTCTACACAAAGTGGAAGCTGTAGTCCATTCTGGGCTGTCGACCACAGAAGGTTTGGCAGTCGATTGGATTGGCATGAATCTGTATTGGATTGATTCGAATTTAGATCAAATTGAGGTTGCCAAATTAAATGGCAGTTTTAGGCGTACCCTCATTGCTGGAGATATGGAAAGCCCACGTGCCATAGCCCTGGATCCCCGAGAGGGTTTACTGTTTTGGACAGATTGGGATGACAACTATCCGCGTATAGAACGTTGTTCGATGGCGGGAAAACATCGCCAGGCCATCACCACCACTTCACAGGTATCGGCTGGCTGGCCAAACGGTTTATCCTTGGATTATACACAAAAACGGGTTTATTGGGTAGATGCCAAATCCGATTCCATTTACACCGTCAAATATGATGGTTCCGATATACATTTAGTGTTGAGAGATCGTGAAATTCTCTCCCATCCCTTTGCCATTGCGGTGTTTGAAAATTATGTCTACTGGACGGATTGGAGAACGGCTTCCGTTATTAGGGCAAACAAATGGAATGGCACGGATATTGAAGTGATCCAACGGACTCACACCCAACCATTTGGTATTCAAGTGTTGCACTCTAGCCGTCAGCCACAGGCTGAAAATCCCTGTGGCGATAATAATGGCGGTTGTTCGCATTTGTGTTTGCTGGAGTAAGTAGGGGTGGTAGAGGCGATTAGAAATTGATTTTAATCTCTTCTTTGTTTGTAGCGTGCGGAAAACCTATCAATGTGCCTGTCCCCATGTTATGCGTTTGGATCACAACGACAATCGAACTTGTGTGGCCAATGAACAGGTGCTGCTCTTCATTATGGGTGATGAAATACGTGGCATTGATTTAATGCAACCCAATCATCATACCATACCCACTATAAGACAGTCTCCGCAGGTATGTTATAAACAGATAATAACAATAATAATAACAATAATAATAAAAATAATAATAATAATAATAATAATAATAATAATAATAATAATAATATAATAAAATACTAAGAATAATAATGAAATAATAAGAATAACATTTAGATAATAATATTATTATTTATTATTTAATAATTATTAATTAAAATTAAATAAATATAAATAAAATATAAATAAAATAATAAATATAAATAAAATAATAATCATTTTTAATATATTTTACTCACTTATCGCCCCTCTAGGTCTTGGCACCTCAACGTATTGATTTTACCGTCGAAGACAGTCGCCTCTATTGGTCCGATGTACAATTGAATGAAATCAAGACCGCCGGAATCTCAAATGGTATTATTGATACCATTATCAATACAGATATACACAATCCAGCTGGGTTTGCCATTGACTGGATAGCCAAGAATATGTACTTTTCAACGGGTAAAATCAAGAGTGACATTTGGGCCAGTAATTTGAAGGGCGAATATGTTACGGAAATATTGAAAGATTTGAATATGGTGGAGAGCATAGCCTTGGATCCCATAAAGTAAGTAGAACATTTTTTATAGGCGAATTGTTACAAAGATTTATGTTGACAAGGACTTTATATCAGAGTCTGAAAGACCATTTTTTGTGTCCTCTAAAATAGAATCGAGGTATGCCACAATATTCTTTTTTTACCAATAAATAAGGAAAAATTTAGTAGATTATAAAAGTAGAGCTAGTATCGGCGTTTTGAAAGTTTGTATCGCAAAGTAACCAAAACATAGCGGGCATGTTTGCCTATCTTCCACACATTTGGAAATTTTCGGATTAAGATTCCTTGGAACCCGTTGATTTAAGGTATATAGAGTCTTTGGCAATATTGGTGATAAAACGGGATGTGAATCGGCAGAGTTTTTTGTTCCTTTTTAAAAAATAAGGTTAACCAAACCACCCTCCCCCATCCCTAAACGGGATCGTAACAGATCAAAATCTTCTATAAATATATTTGTCATGAAATTCTACTCTAGGTCCTAGAAGACATCAACAGTCTAAAACTTACCAAAATGTCAGGAACTCATTTGTTAAAAAAAAAAAAAAAAACATTTTGAGGTCATAACCGTTCGTGTGAATTAAGGTCAAATTCTCCACAAAAGACAAACATATTCTTCATCAAATTTCGCTATGAGTCACCAAAGACAAGAAATCTCTATTTCCATTGTATATCAAGAATATATTTACATCAATTATTGCAAAAAAAAACAAACCGAAAATATATCCTAATTTTTCTCGGACTTTTTTCAAGTTGAGGCCGGAAAGTAACATAATTTATATATAGACAAAAAGTATAAAAAAAATAATACCCTGACCACCTTGTGGTGTAGGGTATAAAAATAAATGTTCTACAAAAATTCTCAGAATAAATCATATATCTAGGTATGATAGTATTTAAGAAAATTATATTGAAAATTTATACAGGGTGTGACGAAAAAACTGCAACCAATTTCAGACTACTGTCATTTCCAAGCCACTCGTCCGACAGCTGTTAAAATTATTCCAGTGACAGCTCAATATATTGTTTACAAGCGTACAAAAACACTTTTGTCAGAATTTTTCAGAAAAAAAGTTATTTATGTTGGAATTCAAGCGTGATAATGTGATTTCTTTATATTTGGCTGGAAAACCACAAGTGGCTATCGTTAGAGCACTCCAGAATTTAAATGTGAATAAATTTGTGTCTCGTACCATCGCTCGTTACCGTGATACTGGTTGCGACGCCAAGGAAGTTGATGGAAGAAAACAGCAACGTCAGCTGAAATGATTCGAAAAGTAAAGAAACGACTTGATTGAAACTCGCGTCGCAGTGGTCGAAAAATGGCTCGTGAACTGAACATATCGCAATATTCCTTTCGGCAAATATTGAAAAATAAGCTCGGGTTATAGCCATTGAAATTCCAAAAAGTGCAAGAACTTACACCGCAACAGAAAGAAAATAGACTCAAAAGAGCTAACGAGTTGCTTTGCTTGGCCGCAAGTGGTAAACTGCCGAATTTGGTTTTCTCCGATGAGAAAACATTTGTTGTCCAGCAGATTATAAACAAACAAAATTATCGTGTTTACTTGCCAAAGAGGTCAGCTGAAAATGTGCACCTTCGATTGGCCACCTGAACTCAAGCGCCGTCCATGGTGATGCTGTGGGCCACCATAACAGTCGATGGTCGCTCTCCGCTCGTATTAATCGACCGTGGCATCAGAATAAATGCCGAATATTATAGCGTTAATATTCTGGAGGGTGTATTAAAGCCTTGGGCACGCAAACATTTTAACCGCAGACCTTGGACATTCCAATAGGACTCAGCACCATCGCACTCAGCACGCACCACCCAAGAATGGTTACAAAATGAGGTTTCTCGCTTCATTTCCAGCGCAGAATGGCCACCAAAATCTCCGGATACCAATCCGTTGGTCTATTGTGTCTGGAAAACAATGTTGGCACTAAAAAATACCAAAGTGTCGATCACCTAAAGCAAGTGCTTCGGCGGGAATGGGCCAAAAATACCGCAGAGCAACATTCGGGCAGCGTGTGACGGTTTCATAGGCCGTTTGAAGGCCATAATTCGTGCCAAAGGTGGCAAATTCGAACAAATCTAAACCTATTCTAAAATTTGATGCTATTTCCGACATTTTTTGCTGTCATTCAATAAAATTTAAAAAAAATAAAAATTATGGCGTTTGACTTTGTTGCCGTTTTTTATCTCACCCTTTATACCTGAAATCAACGCATTCCAAGGAATCTATATCAGAAAACCTTAAAAATATGTGGAAGAGGGAGTATTTGCCCTCTCATTCTAAGTTAGTTGCTGTATAGACTTTCAAAATGCGGATACACGCCCCTCAATTTTTGGCTCTACTTTCATATTCTACTGACTTGTTGGTAATTGTTTTCTTTTGTGTTGCACTGTGTAATCATTGAAATAATAATATACATTTAATATATATTACTCTTAGGAGTTATCCTAAATTGAAAATTAATTTTAAAACTCAATTTAGTTATGCATCCGAATCTAACCTAAGATTAGATTAATTACTAATGATTGTATTCCTAATTCTTTCTTTAATATCCACAGCGGTAAACTATATTGGATCTCGTCCTCGCGTAATCTTCAAAACTGGCAAATCGAACAAAGTAATCTCGATGGGTCGGAGAGAAGCGTTATCTATGAACACAACAAAACACTGGCATCTCTTACCATGGATTTTGATTCGATGCGGTTGTATTTTGTTTACGACAATTCTGGTATCTCATACTATGAGATTGCCTCAAAAGAAATACACATCGTTGTGGCGTCGAGTAAAGTGATGACAATCAGCGCTGTTACCGTCTACAATGGGACCCTCTATTTTCCGGAGAATATACAGGGTGTTATAATGTCATGCGACAAAAATGCCTGTGCCGAATATTCCATACTGAGAAAAAATACCAAAAAGATTCAATATTTGAAAATGTTCTATGCTGAGGCGCAGCAGGGAGCAAACACATGTGCTGGACCCTTGAAGGGAGGTTGTTCCCATCTGTGCTTTGCCATCTCAAATAAGGATCATACATGTGGCTGTGCCATTGGATATCGCGTGGATCCAACAAATCCCACCCAGTGCATAGGTGTGGATGAATTTTTGTTCTACACCAATCATGAGCTGAAAGGCATCGAAATATACGAACCGAATAAGCCGATTGATGAGCAGGGACAGAAAATGGTGAGTCATTGAATTTCTTGTGTAATTTATGACCACTAATCGTTTTATCTTCTTTTTCCTCTTCCTTCAGGCCTTAGGTCCCATTTCCCGCATATCTCTGGCTTCCTTCATCGACTACCATGCCAACCAGAATTATCTGTATTGGGGTGACAATGACAGTGGGTCCATATCGCGCATCAAACGTGATGGCACCCAACGTCAAGTGATTATAGAATCCCCCGAATGGTTGGACAACAAACAAATGGATTGGTTGGGTGGCATTGCCATCGATTGGGTGGCCGAAAATATTTACATTAGCGATATTAAGCGTAACGTTATTGAAGTAGCCCGTCTAGATGGTTCCCATCGCCATGTCGTGGTTTCCAGTGTAAAGAAGCCCAGTGTATTGGCTGTTGATCCCGTACAGGGTTTACTCTTCTATGTGGCCGAAGGTGTTATTGGTCGCACTGGGTTGGATGGCTCTCAACCGTTTGTTTTGGTCAACCATGACAAAATCGTTACCAGCCTTGTGCTGGACATAGAAGCCACCAAGGTTTATTGGTGTGAAGCACCCAAAACATCGCTGGCCCAGCCGTCCATTATGAAAGTCGATTATGATGGCAATCTAAAGGAGGTTTTGCTGAATCATACTCTGGAATATCCCACTTCGGTGGGTAAACTGGATGATTACATCTACTGGACTGATAATAATTACAACAAGGGCACTTTCAAAGTTGCTCCAATGGCGAATTTAAGCAACTATGTGGAGTTGAAACGCTTTGAGGGAAATTCCGTCAAGGACATGAAAATATACTCCAAGAGGCTACAGAAGGGTACCAATCCATGTGCTGAAAATAATGGCGGATGCCAGGAGTTGTGTCTCTTCAATGGTACCACACCCATCTGTGCCTGTTCTCACAGCCGTGTAGCTGCCGATGGCATGGCTTGTGAGCCCTATGACAGCTTCCTGCTCTTCTCCTATCGCAGTACCATTGAAAGTGTCCACCTAACGGATCACACAAATAAAAATGGTCCCGTTAAACCGATACGCAACACCACCATTATGATGAATGTCATTGCCCTGACCTATGACTATGAGAACAGTGTTCTGTTTTACTCCGATGTGATCCTGAGCACCATCAATGCGGTGAACTTTAATGGCAGCAATAATCGAGTTTTGGTTACCCACCAAGGAAAGGTGGAAGGATTGGCTTTTGATATTGTCAATGAAATGCTTTTCTGGACTTCCAACAATGATGCCTCCATTTGCAGTTTGGATCTCCACTACGTATCCGATAATGCCGACAATAATACACAATTGGTGAATCGTATACGTGTTCTCAATTCCAAAGACAAGCCACGAGGCATTGCTGTGGAACCATGTCTGGGCATGATCTACTGGACCAATTGGAATGAGGAAAGTCCCTCGATACAAAGGGCTTATGTGACCGGTTTTGGTTTGGAATCGATTATCAGAACAGACATCAAAATGCCAAATGCAATTACCTTGGATCTGGAAGAGCAAAAGCTGTATTGGGCTGATGCCAGAATAGATAAAATTGAAAGAGCGGAATATGATGGAACACATCGGGTGGTCTTGGCCCATTCTTCGCCCAAACATCCATTTTCCATAGCTGTGTATGGTGATTTGTTGTTCTGGTCCGATTGGGTACTAGGTGCCCTGGTGCGGGCCAATAAGTACACCGGCGCCGACATGGTTTTCCTGCGTGATCATGTGGAACGACCCATGGGTGTTATTGCCATCCAAAATACCACCGTCAACTGTGATTCGAACCAATGCAAAATTCTCAATGGTGGCTGTGAAGATGTGTGCATTTTGAATAGCAATGGAACGGCAAGTTGCCAATGTACTCGCGGCATATTGGCGCCGGATGGACGCAGATGTTTGCAGCCCATAAATGTCAAGTGTGAGAAGAATCAATTCCCTTGTGGTTCGGGTGAATGTATTCCCCTGCATTTGACCTGTGACAGTATTCCCCATTGTTTGGATGGGTCCGATGAATCGCGTAGCTATTGCATCATACGGGTTTGTCCCACCGATTTCTTTATGTGCAACAATCATCGCTGTATTCCCCAGGACCAAACGTGTGATGGTGTCCATCAATGTGGTGATGGCTCCGACGAGTCGGAACTTATATGCAAATGTGAACCGGAGAAGTTCCGTTGTGGCAGTGGTGAATGCATATCGCAGCAGTTTGTATGCGACCACGTGCGAGATTGCAAAGACTTTAGTGATGAGAAGCATTGTCCCGCCTCTGAATGCCCTGCTGGGGATGCTGTCTATGAACACTGTCCCAATTCAACGGCCTGTATTATGCCCATGTGGCGTTGTGATGGCGATAATGACTGTCCCGATGGCAGCGATGAGCTGAACTGTGATCATGTTACAAAAGTTGCCTGTGCTCCTGGACAATTCCAGTGTTCCAATGGACGTTGTATCAACGAAAAATGGCGTTGTGATGGAGAAAATGACTGCAAGGATTCAGTGGCTGGCAATTTCAGTTCCGATGAATTTGGTTGTAAATTGCAGTGCAAACCCAATGAGTTTAGATGCGACAACACTTGCATTCCCGCCAGTTGGCAATGCGATTCGAAGACAGATTGTGAAGATGGCTCCGACGAGGGTGCCCAATGTCCGAATCATGTATGCCGACCACATATGTTCCAGTGTAAATCTTCGGGACGTTGTATTCCACAAAAATGGGTGTGCGATGGAGAGCATGATTGCCCAGCTCCTGGTTCCGAAGATGAGGGCGATCAGTGTGCCATTGCAACAGTTCCGCATATTCCGGATTGTGTGGCTCCTTCATTTCTCTGTTCAAATGGTTTGTGCCTGGATCGCCCTCTGGTATGTGATGGCGATCACGATTGTCCCAATGGTGAGGACGAATACGAGGATTGTGTCCCATTCAATTTCACCCAGGTGTGTGTGGAGGAGGTGGAATTCCAGTGCCATAATCTTGAGTGCATAGCCAAAAATCTAACATGTAATTCGAGAGCAGATTGTTCGGATGCTTCCGATGAGTCTGTGGACCTGTGTGGCGAATCAACAATGACCTGTGGCCACGGCCAATACCAATGTAAAAATGGTGCCTGTGTTTCGGAAGAGTTGCTTTGCAATGGTCGCAATGATTGCGGCGATTTCTCGGATGAGTCGCTGTGTAACGTGGACGAGTGCTTGAACCCGGATATTTGCGAACACACCTGTATAAATAAGAAAATTGGCTATGAATGTCAGTGTCATCCCGGCTATAAGCTACATGCCAACAATCATCATTTGTGCGATGACATTGATGAATGTAATGGACCGCATCAATGCTCCCAAATTTGTGCCAACACCTATGGCTCGTACAAGTGTCTGTGCATGAAGGGTTATGAATTGAAGGACGATCATCACACCTGTAAGGCCACCAGCAATGAGACGGCCAAGTTGATATTCTCCAACCGCTACTACATCAGACAAGTGGATATGAGGGGCAATGGCAGTATTCTCATACATCAGTTATCGAATGCTGTGGCATTGGACTTTGATTGGTCCACCAAGTGTCTCTTCTGGTCGGATGTTACCTCCACGGTGGGCATGATCAAGCGTTATTGTCCGGCAGAAAATAAAACCACCACACTACATCAAGCAATGTTGAAGAATCCTGATGGCCTGGCTGTGGATTGGGTGGCCAAGAATTTGTATTGGTGTGATAAAGGTTTGGATACCATTGAGGTGTCCAAATTGGATGGCAAATATCGTAAGGTTCTTATCAATGAACATTTGCGGGAGCCCCGTGGAGTGGCACTGGATCCCTTCAATCGCAATCTCTACTGGTCCGATTGGGGTGAAGATCCCCATATTGGAAAGGCCGGCATGGATGGCTCTAATGCCAGGATAATTATACGTGAAAATATGGGTTGGCCAAATGCCTTGACGCTGTCCTTTGAGAGTAATCAACTTTTCTGGGGTGATGCCCGAGAAGATACAATATCAGTTTCCGATCTGGATGGCAATAATGTGAGAATTTTGATGGCCCGCAAATTGAATCCTCAACTGAATTTACATCACATCTTTGCCATTGCTGTGTGGGAGGATAAAATTTATTGGTCAGATTGGGAAATGAAATCGATTGAGTATTGCAATCGTTTTACGGGACAGAATTGCTCGACCCTGGTGACAACCATACATAGGCCAATGGACTTGAGAATCTATCATCCATATCGCCAGCAGCAACCCTATGGCGGAAATCCATGTGAGACGGCAGAGTGTTCCACATTGTGTTTGCTCTCGCCTGACCCTCCATTCTACAAATGTGCATGTCCCAATAACTTTATACTGGGCGATGACAATAAGACCTGTATTGCCAATTGCACCGCCGCCCATTTCCAATGTTCCCAGACGTACAAATGTATTCCGTTCTATTGGAAATGTGATACACAGGATGATTGTGGCGATGGCAGCGATGAGCCGGAAAATTGTCCACCCTTCCATTGTGAACCGGGCCAGTATCAGTGCAACAACAAGAAATGTATTCATCCAGCTTCCATATGCAATGGCAGCGATCAGTGTGGCGACAATTCGGATGAACAAAACTGTGATAAGTTTACATGCTTCGAAAATCACATGAAATGTGGGGCCACCGCCAATACGACGGCGTTCTGTATTGACAATCTCCAGAAGTGTGATGGTGTCAAGGATTGTCCGAATGGTGAAGACGAAGTGGGCTGTACTCCGCTAAGCTGTAAAAAGGATCAGTTCCAGTGCAGTAATAACCGGTGCATGCCTCTTGTTTGGGTGTGTGATGGCGATGCCGACTGTCCCAATAAGTCGGATGAATTGAATTGCGATAAGGCGACATGTGATCCCAACGATTTCCAGTAAGTTTGGAAGCTCATTGATGGAAGTTTGGATAATTTAGACAAAACTCCCTTTGCTTTTCTTACAGATGTAGTTCCGGCCGTTGTATTCCCATGGCCTGGCGTTGCGATGGCGAAGATGATTGCCCGAACGGCGATGATGAGCCAGCTTCCTGTCGCTCGTCGAAGGAGGAATGTGATCCCACCTACTTTAAGTGCAATAATTCCAAATGTATACCCGGCAGATGGCGCTGCGACTATGAAAATGACTGTGGAGATGGCAGTGATGAACTGAATTGCCAAATGCGTAACTGTTCGGAAAGTGAGTTCAGATGTGGAACTGGCAAATGTCTCAAGCATGATCATCGCTGTGATGGTGAAATCCACTGTGACGATAGCAGTGATGAGTTGAATTGCAATATAACCTGTAAAGCGAATCAATTCAAGTGTGCCACCTTCAATACCTGTATTAACAAGTAAGGGAGGATGTGATTTGGTCCCGAGAAACAAATCCATTATTAATGTGTCTTCCTCTTTTAGGCAATACCAATGTGATGGTGATGATGACTGTCCCGATGGCAGTGATGAGGTAAACTGTACCTGTCCTTCGGATCACTTCACCTGCGGCAATGGGAAATGTATTATGGCCCGTTGGAAATGTGATGGCTGGGATGATTGTACCGATGGCAGTGATGAGAGTCTGGAGACTTGTGCCCATGTCCATTGTCATGCAAATGCCTTTAAATGCTCGAATCTCAAGTGCATACGCAAATCGGCGCTGTGTGATGGCGTCAATGATTGCGGCAATAATGAAGATGAAGCAGATGAAGTTTGTGCTGCCCTACCGAAATGTCGTCACGATCAATTCCAGTGTGAGAATGAGGATTGCATATCGAAAATCTTTCGTTGTGATGGCCAGTATAATTGCATTGATGGTTCGGATGAGATGAACTGCCAGCCGCCGGTTTGTGGCTTTGGGACATGCTCGCAAATTTGCATAGAGAAGAAAGCGGGACATTATAATTGCAAGTGCACAGAGGGATATTCGAAGGGACCGGCGAAAAATGATACCTGTTTGGCATCGGGTAGGTATTTCATTGTTTCAGTTTTAAAAGATTAAAAATAATTATTAACCTCTTTTTTTCTTAGGACCTGATCAAGTTCTGCTATTGGCTTCCGAACAAGAATTCCGTTTTATATTGCCAGCCAAGCAGGAGGGCACCACAATGGTTGGCTTTTTCCACACAGATATTTTGAAAATAGATGTATTCGATATTTTGATTCGAAACAAAGATACCTTACTCTTTTGGATTGATTCGCATCATGGCAAGGTGCATACCATGAAAATTGCCATACCCCAAACCGAAGCTATTGCAGTGAGGGTAAGGCGTGATCTCAAGGAGTTAAAGGCCTTCGATGTAAGTTGAATGGAAATCAAATAAAAAAATGCTATGTCTAAATGTCAATGTCTTTATTTTTAGATTCCCGTACTTGATGATCCCAAATCCCTGGCCATTGAATGGATAACTCAATTGGTGTACATCATTGATTCCAAGCACAATGAAATTCTGGTCACAGATATTGATGGCAAAAAGTATGCATCGCTTGTGTCAACCGGTTTAAATCCCACCGATATTGTTGTGGAACCCGAGTCGCGTATCATGATATGGTCTACTCTGGAAAATGGCATACTCATGGCCTCATTGGATGGCCAAAATAAACGCAGTTTGATTGAACGTGATGTTGGCTGGCCCATCAGTTTGGCCATTGATTATCCGACCGGACGTTTGTATTGGGCCGATTATCGCAAGGGCACTGTGGAGACATGTCGTTTGAATGGCAAGGAACGTAATGTGGTGAGGAAGTTTTCGAATAAAGGTATGTATAATGAACTGGAGGACAATAGGAGAGGGAAATTAAATTGTCTGTTTATTTCTTTCTATAGAAAAACCCCAAAAGATTGATGTCTTTGAGGATTACTTATATATCAAGCTGTATGATCAGAGCATAATCAAAATGAACAAGTTTGGCAATGATAATGGCACCTATTTGCTAAAGGGCTATCGGTCATCGGACATTGGTATCCTACATCCATTGAAACAGAATCGTAACAGTAAGTATACCAAAAATTAAGATATGAACAAAATTATTTATTCCCTCCTGTCTCTGTCACACAGTATCCAATCCCTGCGCCAAGGAGCCCTGCAAACAAATGGGCGCCATGTGTCTGATGACCACCGAGACCAACAGTGGTTATAGATGCCGTTGCCCCAACGATTTCCATATGGTCGATGGCGTGTGTGTGGCCCATCAAACCATTGTACCCGATTATTGTCCTTTGAAATGTAACCTGGGCACCTGTAAAGTTATCAATCACGTACCAAAGTGTATTTGCCAGCCCCGATTCGAAGGAGAATTCTGTGAACATTATCGTTGTTCGAATTATTGTATGAACAATGGCTTGTGTATTATTGCACCACAAATCCCTGGCTCACCAGAACCCCCACCATTGAAATGTAGCTGTACACCAGGTTGGTCGGGACCACGTTGTGAAACGTCGGTGCCAGAGTGTCAGAGTCGTTGTCATAATGGCGGCTCATGTCGCATTGAAGATGGCGGTATGAAGTGTACATGTCCGCCCATGTATGTGGGAGAACAGTGTGAACATTGTGTGAATTTGACCTGCACCAATGGTGGCATTTGTCGCGAAACTTTGTCGGGCACCACACAATGTGAATGTCCAGATGGGTAAGTGCGAAATGACCTCATTTATTTGAATATTTTGAGAGTAACCTGCCTTTATGTTCTTTGCAGATTCACTGGAAAGCGCTGTGAGGTAAATGTTTGTTCAGGCTTTTGTAAAAATGGTGGTACATGCACCATAGGTTCCAAAGGTGGTGCTCAATGTCAATGTCCCAAAGGTTTCTATGGTGAAAAATGTGAATCGGATTCATGTGCCAATTATTGTCTTAATGGAGGTGTGTGCACAGAGAAACCAGGAAAGCTGTTGTGTTCTTGTCTGGAACGATATGTGGGAGATCGTTGTGAGACCGATCTTTGTAAAACTTCAAATCCACCAGCCTGTACGTAATAGAAATATAAGACTTTATTGGCAATATCTTAACATTTTTCGTTTCTATTTTACATTTTACAGATTGCGATCCATCTGAAATACCCCAACGCAATCCCTGCACCGGCCTAATATGTCAAAATGGTGGAACATGTCATGTAATCAAAGGTGTTGCCATGTGTAATTGTTCCGATCAATGGAATGGTGAATTCTGTGAAAGACCAGTATCCGATGACAATCCCTGCATCAATTATTGCCACAACAACGGCGTATGTCATCTGGATCCCTATCAAATTCCACAATGCACATGCATAGGAGAATGGGAAGGTCCGGCCTGTGATGTACCACCGCCATGTGTGGGTACTTGTGGCTTATGTCAAACGGGTAGTTCGATAAATGAATGCAAGTAAGTTGAGGACAATGGAATTTTGTATTAGGAGTTATTGAGTTAATTAAATGATTCCATTTTAGATGTGAAGATGGCCTGTATACAACCTGTTTGGCTGATACGGCCAATGCCTTGAGAAGTGAGACGGAACACTCGGCCAATGTAATGTCGATATTGGCTATAATTTTGGCAATAGCGATATTAGTGCTGGCTCTATTCGGTGCTGGTTTATACTTTTTGAAGTAAGTGTGCATTTTTTAAGCTTCAACGAAATCTTGAGATATCCGAAACTATCTCTATAGCAAGTAAGAAAGCTTCAGTCAGCGTTCGAACAGTACACTTCTTTTGGGGGACGTATCAAAAGATTAGACCTACATACCCCAACTGTTATTTAACCAGAAGGAGTGACCTAAAGAATAATTTTAGGCTTTAGTACCCGTTATGAACTGCAAGTGCGAAATTTGAAACAATTTCGGTGAAAGATGTCTCTTAAAGCTTCAAAATACTGAATATAGGGAGTTACAGTTATATTTACAGTTTAGACGACGAAAGAAACATCTGAGAAAAATCAACCTACTTCAATTTGTTCGGAAGCTAGAGTGATTTCCACAGACGGACGGACATCGCTAAATCGATATAGAATTGTATGCTTTGTGGGGTCTAAAATCTATATTTTGAGGTGTTATAAACGGAATGACAAACTTAATTTACCCTCAATACTATTGTGGAGGGCATACAAATCTTAGTTGGGGTTGTTTTGTCCGAATAGTATTTAATAGTTATATCCTGCTAAGCTATTAGGTGTTCAAACGAATTACATTTACAAAAAAGCTTTCAAATAATGAGGTCAACAATTCGTCAGAACATTGTGAAATTGTAAAAGGCTTCCTTTGAGTTGTTCTGAGGGTATTTTTTGAATGCCTTTTTAACACGTGTAGCAAACACTGTTGGAACGGACAGTTTATTATTTTATTTGAGATATGTTTGATATTTGTATAACCTCAAGAGCTGTTAGGTTAAGGAAGTGCTCAAAAATGTTTAAATTTGTTGATTTATTTGAATTGAATTAATAATTTGAAAAACTCGTTTGGAATGCTTTCGTTTGCCCAATATGTTGCGAACAAAAAAAAATACATATTTTTAACTAATGATGTATTTTTTCATTTCCAGAAAACATCGCATATCGCAACCATTTTCCCATGCACGTCTTACGGAAAATGTGGAAATTATGCTTACAAATCCAATGTACCGAGGCGATGCCGATGAAACGCCGGCATTTGTGCACGAAGATGATAAGGTATTTAGCTGTTATAATTTTAAAGGATACATATGATTTAAATAAACCATATTTTTCAGGGCAACTTTGCCAACCCGGTGTACGAGTCAATGTATGCCGATGCCATTGTGGAACCGGCAGTGGTACCAGAAAATGTTCTGGCGCCGGATGAGCGCAAGGGTCTGCTACAGCATTCACACGATGACAATAATACACCGGATATTCTCTGATGATTAACGTCAAATGAGATACGTTAAAGCGAGAAGTTTGTATGAAAGTCAAAATGTATTAACAAAAAAAAAAAAAAAAAACAAAACAAAAACCAACTGTAACAACAAAGCAAAATAAGAATTTAAGCCATAATTATAGTCATCATTTACATAAGAAGAAAAACAACCACAACAACAAAATCCAAACGAATTAACAACAATGTACATTTTCTAGACCTTAAACACTTTCCTATCTCCCTTTCTCCCTCTTCCAATGCGAAGAAAATGAATTCCCTACAAAATAAGTAAAAAAAAAACTAAAGCAAAACTGAATGAAGAACAAATATCTAAAACTCAACTCAATTATTGCATTAAAACAAACGAAACGAAAGCATTTCTTAAAACGAAAATTATTATTTCTTAAAAAGGAAAAACTACAACAAAAACCAAAATGTGAAAAGAATTATTTAACGCAACAACCAACAAGAAAACAAGGACTGATAGTTTAGTCATTTCTAAAGAAACAAAAATATGAAGAAAAAAAAACTAACAAGAAGAACAAAAGTAACACTAAATTATATTCTTCTACACATGGCAAGAATATATTTTGATGTGTGTGTGTTTGTGCAACTGTGTAATATTTTTTAATGATTTATTTTATATATATATATTTGTAATATTATTTATAATCAATATTTTTTATTATAAATATTTTATTGTATCGAAATGAAAAGCTTTTTTAAAGGATTGTTTTCACAGTACAAATTGTGAGAATGTTCTAAGGATTTTGGAAAAACAAATAGGATGAAGAATTGTTGCCTTAACAAGCCAAAATTTAAAATTAAATTTATGGTTTTGAACTTAACATTTTCTCAACATCTTGTATATTGAAACAGCAGAACAAATCATTTTGAATTTCGTATCGGCCAGCCATATTTGAAGATTACATATTGATTTTACCAATATTTTTAATTAGGGTTTATTTTCTGCATTAAATAATTTTGAAAAATAACAAAAACATTATTTATGTGCCATAAATTAATTAATATTCAATTTAGAATTCCTACTGCATTTGGTTTCAACAAATTCCGATAAGTTTAAAATTGTGAAAATCATTTTATAATTCGCCCCGTAAGCCTTCCTTCAGATAGATAGCAACCTATTGTGTAAAATTACAAAAAACGAATTCGAATGAGATACAACCAAACCCCAACTTCTTTTTAATTTCATTATTTTAAATATTAATTTTAAATCGTTTTATGAAAAGACTTTGCTTGGTTGAGTTTAGGTATGCGCAGCTACATGAATTGGCCAACTGCTTCACTCGAAAACCTTAGATCCACTGTGTTTATCCAAGGAGGAAATAAAAAAATGGGGATAGGAGAGATAAAGGAGCAAGAAGCAGAAGAAAATATTTATAGTGAGAATCGTAGTTAGGAGGGGGTCTGCCTAGTAGGGAATAACATTGGCAAACTTGTGAATGATGATGGGATTTATTTCTGGAAAAGAAGTTAGAGTTTCTATTTTCCACCTACCAAATAGCCTATACCTCTTTGTTGTAAGTGTCTCTAAAGACTCTACCCCTTCATCATATTTACATGGTCTATAGAAGTCCCATCCTGACATCAGATATCTGATACTGCAGTGACCAATCAATATGCCCACCACGATTCTTCTCCTCGAGATTCCCCTACAGACATCTACAAAGTAAGTGTCTCTAACGACTCTAACTCTTTTTCATCTTCATATGGTCTACATAAGTCAGGAACACTGTTGTCCCATCCTGAGATAGGATATCTGATACTGCAGTCTATAGAAGTCTGGTACACTGTTGTCCCATCCTGACATCAGATATCTGATACTGCAATGAACAGTCAATATGCCCACCACCATTCTTCTCCTCGAGATTCCCCTACAGACAACTACAAAGTAAGTGTCTCTTTATTTACATGATCTACAGAAGTCAGGAACACTGTTGTCCCATCCAGTCAATATGGTGTCTCTCTTCATCTTTACATGTTTACAGAAGTCTGGAACACTGTTGTCCCATCCTGAGATCAGATATCTGATACTGCAGTGACCAGTCAATATGCCCATTACGATTCTTCTCCTTGAGATTCCCCTACCATGTCCCATCTTCTTTCAGCTTCTTCTATAGGAGACTTTTTGAAGCAGCTGACATAATATCTTATTGGTTTAACAGCCTCAGCAATCGATCTACCAATCGAGGAGGCGGATCCCCCTCGAGCTAATTAATCACCCACTTCATTCCCTACTAAGAAAACACTCAGGAGGGCACGTATCAAAACCGGAGTGCATTTTATTAAAGTTGTATTATTCAGACATAATTCTGCAATAACTAATTTTGAATAATTTGAGATTCCAGGCTGAAATAATAAATCATAAATAACATTTGGCAAGTTCCACAAGCTAATAATTACTTTACTTGGATTTTTGTACACATTCGATTCCGACATATTACGATAAGTGTAGTATAATTGATATTATTACCCTTCCTTTACAGAAGTTGAAGAAATCGGTATAAGGACTGAATTTTTACAACTCTTTCTGGTGATATTCCACGGTGAAAAATGTTGAATATTGTTGATATTATTAGTCTTTCTTTGCTGTAATTAAAGAAATCGAAATAAGGATCGCATTTTTTTTTAATAAAAATATTGTGCCATTTTCCCCCTCTTCTTCCACCATTTAATCTGTACCGTTTATTCTCCATAAAGTACTGTGAAAACGACCCTCTTGGTTAATTTTAGCTAAAACTATTAAAAGATATTTTTTAAATTACAATAATCCTTTTGAATGAAATACATATGCACTATGTATTGTTTTCTTTTTTAAAAAAAATATATATACGATATTGTATAATCACTCTCTCCTGCTACTCAAAGATTAAACAAATCTATAATTTCATGATATATATGTATACTCATATTTATATAAATAATAACAAATAAGTGATTTTTTTAATTTATGTTCAAATTGTAATATAAGTCGACAAAGAAGAATAAGAAACGAAATTAAGTAAAAGCAACTAAGAAATTAACGGAAATGCAATAAAATTATTTTTGGTTTGTTTTTTATTTTTATTCTGTGGTTTCTTAAAAAAATTAGTAAACACAAATATAACAAGGACTCGTATGAATAAATCCCAACACCCTTAAGATATTGTGGCCAATTGTTTTTATCCCAAACTTATCGAAAAAAATTCTTAACTTCAAACTGCAAAGATTTTTTTATTATTTCCTCTACAATATTTTTTTTGTTAACGAAATTTGTTTTAATAAAATATTGGATGTCATCATTACGCCATAACTGTTTTTGTATTTATACATGTGTCTGTTTTTTTTTTTTGTTTTCTTTTAACATTTAACGAACAAAAAGTAAACTCAACTTGTCTGTATATTGTATTCTAATGTATATGTAGTATATATAAATAAATCTATACATAAAATTTAATATCAAAAAAAAAAAAAAAATATTTTAAGATTAAGTAATTTTACCTTAAATTAACAAAACAAAATTAAAAAATACAAACAAAAGAACAAAGATATTAAATATATACACAATTAAAACGAATAGACAACAACAAGAACAACATCAACTGTAAAACATGAACAAAGAAACATAATTTCAATAAAACAAAAATTAATAAATTGTACACATTATAATTAAAAGCACGTATTTTAATGTGGTTAATTTAAAAAATAATCGTATTTTTTGAAGAAATATCTTATCATACCTTTTTAATATAATCCATAAAATTTTATGTAATTTCTTGGAATTCGAAAAAAGAATTCAGGTAATTCTTTTGGATAATTCTTTATTAGGTAATTCTTACTGAGTAATTATATCCTGCAAGTTTTTGTAAATTCTAAGTCAAAATCGCTATAATTTATAATTTTATAATTTTGAGCTTATGGGTTATTGAGCAACATTAGGTGTATATCATGACTTTTTTTTTTTGTTAAAATTACTCAGTAACTCATATTGAGAAAATATTCTTCAAAGATTGCAAAAAGTTAACGAATAAAGTTTTGTAAAATCTAGCAAGAAAACAACTGTTTTTTGCTAAACTAGATCTTTATGCTTTTAAATTAATAAAATGCAATCTTTTATTAAAAAGCAAGTTAATTTGCATAAGCCAGCTTTGACTTATGATTATTCAAACTATTTTATAGGAGAGGTTCCGAAGCAGTTGGCCAATATTGACCATTTCGTATCTGACCTAAGACTGATATAAATATTACAACAAAATGTGGAAATATGCTTCAGGTAACAGATATAGCGGACCGAAGTATTCCGTTTTCATACTTCATCTAATACAGAATAAAATATTGGTATGTGCAAAATTTGAAGCAAATCCAACATTTATATCCAATTTTAAATCATAAATTTCGAAAAATTACATATTCATATCAGATTTCTAGTGAAGAAATATATTTAGATATAGAAAGTTGTAAAGAATCGCCAGATATAAGTACTGGAAATTGTGACCCTTTGTGGGTGAGGTACCAGAAGGGGTTGACAGATGTATATCATCTCTACAACAGATCTTGTGTTGGAAATATTTGTTGATGGAAATTATTTAGATGTAACAAGTCTGAATGGAATCGGACGTTATTTTCGCGTTTTAAAAGCTTTATCGATACTCAAAATGTTGACCCTTTGTGGGGGATGTATTAGAAGTAGTGCACCGTCTTCACACTACACCTTGAGTTAGTAGAAATAATGGGACGTGTGTAATATGAAGAGAAAAGGATGCTAATTTCTAATTTGATGATAGTTTTGGTTATTCAAAATATGGACCCTTTATGGGGCAGTAACAGAAGGAAAGGTCCGATCTCTACCATCTTTATAACAGACTATCAAATATTGAGATGTACCAAATCTGAATATCGGATGTTAATTTCCTGTTTTATGAGCTTCATGAATATTCAAAATGTTGACCCTTTGTGTGGAACGTACCAGAAGGAGTGGACCGATATATTCCATTTTCACACCAGACCTTGGGTTAATAAAAATATTGTGATTTGTGTAATTTGAAGACAATCAATATTCAAAATTTTAACCCTTTGTGAGGGAAGTATTGAAATGGACCGATATTGTCCATTTTCGCACCTGATCTAGCACTGATGCAAATATTAGGATTTGCAAAGCTGGAGCAAAATCGGATAATCCTTTCTCTTTCTGTGTAGTAAATTATTTTCTTTGAAAATATTGGAATTTTGTGGGGAAGGTACCCGAAGGATTGGACCGATGTTGCCCATCTCCCAGCTCGAGCTCGATGTAGCAAGTTTGGATCAAATCGGATCCTGATCGGACCAGCCTGACAGACCCAGGCAGACAGACGCACAGACGGACATCAATAAATCGACTTCAAATGTCCTGAAACGGATTTCTTCCAAAAGACCTAGGGCCTAAAACGTTTTGGTCGTATCAAATGATATATACCGTCTCTAGTCATGGCTGAAGGTATAACAAGTTATTATGGTATGCAATTTCATAGTTAATTTTAATAATATTCATTGAATCACATTCTGATTCGATATATGTATGTTTGCCAGTCTGTCCATGTGTTATTGTAAACAAAATATAGATCGCAATTTTGCTTGTTCTTCCGATTTCCTAAATTAGATAAGTTCTAGCAAATACAACTAAATGTAGCCTTGAAGTAAGTATGTCAAATCTGGTGAAAATCGGTGCAGATAGATATCAGTAGCTACGACACATCCGATTTTAATTAAAGCCTCCCTCAAAGAAACTTTTGTCGGCTCTTTACTGGTTTTATAATCACGTTGTAAATGAAGATACCAATGTTACATGTGATGGCAATACTATTTTTTACTAGCACTATGATTACTATTCCTTTATAGATGGTACTGAATAATATTACAGCAAGGATGAAAACTTCACTAGGTTAAATTTCAGCGCCATCTACATATTTCGGACAAATTTAATAATATGTTAACCCATTGAGAGCCAGAATATTACATATCAAATTCAACAACCAAATACATTTAGCATTTCTACAGTTACTCATAACTAGATGTCGCTGTACAACGTCATATGGAATGTGGATTCCAATTTATAATTCCTAACTACTAAAGATGGAAGAAAACTCACTTTGTGGGAACCCAAGGACTTTTCACAAAAATTAAATATTTTTTACAAAAATCAAGTAATTATAAAAATTAAAAAAAAAATTAACAGGCTGGTAGGGACTGATACAGAAGTTTATTTATAGGCGGAAAGAGGACACTCACTCTTTTAGTGAAGAAAACGAGCCAAAAAAATTTTGTCCACTACAAGAGAGTCCTTAGCTCAACACCTTAACCATACACAAAGGGCTACAAATATTTTTCTCAATCCTTCGGAAAATTTAAGATATAGTTTTAAAATTAGATACAGGCTTTTGGGTTACATGTAGAATTATTTGTACAAAATATAGTACACGTTTTGGCATAGCCCATGTATTTCGATTTCAAGTATTTTTTATATCTAAGCCATATTTTATACCCTCAGCCATTCATATCATTCGATACGGCCAAAGCGTGCCTCATCGACATAACGGTTTTAAACCTTAGGTCTCTTTGGACAAAATCCGTTTCAGGACATTTGGAGTCGATCTAGCGACGTCCGTCCGTCCGTCTGTCTGGCTGGTTGTGGAGGACGATAACTCTCGAAAGGAGTATCTGATTTGGTCCTAATATAATTATCAAACTTAGATCGAGTTCGGAGATGGGCAATATCGGTCCACACCTTTTCACAGAAAATGTTTTACTGTATTTTGCAAATCCTAATATTTGCATCAGTTCTAGGTCAGGTGCGAAAATGAACAATATCGGTTTACTCACAATTTTGAATAATTATAACTCTTATAAAATATACAATAATTTTTTTAAGCCAAGGTCTGGTGTGAAGATATAATATATCGGTCCATTCCTTTTGGTACCTCCCACACAAAAGGGTCAACATTTTCAATATCCATGAATAATAAAGCGCGAAATTAACATCCAAACCCATTCAGACTTGGCACTTCTAAATATTTCTATAAGAACAAGATGGTAGAGATCGAACCATTTCTTCTGGTACCTCCCCCACATAGGGTCAAATTTTCGAATAACCAAAACGATTATAAAATCCGAAATAAGCATCTGGTTCTCTTCATATTTCACACATCACATAACACAAGATCTGCTGTGAGAATGATATATCGATTCACTCCTTCAGTTACCTCCCCCACAAAGGGTCAACATTGTGAAAATCCATTCAGACTAGGTACACCTCAATATTTCCATCGACACAAGATCTGTTATAAAGATTTTATAGATCGGGCCATTTCTTCTGGTACCTCACCCACATAGGGCTCAAGATTATAAAAAAACGAAACGCTCAATGAAAGCGAAATAAATTTTACATAAAAAACATTTTGCAAACACAAAATCTGTTGTGAAGATAATCTATATCTTCGAACCCCTTCTGGTACCTCACCAACAAAGAATCACAATTTTCCATACTTTTATCTGTCATAACATGAGTAACAAATCAGCGATTCTCTACAACTTGCTATATCTAAATATTTCTCTCAACTAGAAACCTGAGATGAATATGAGACGCATAAATGTTCGATTTTCTTGTATTTTTGCCCATATATCTGTAATAGATGAAGTATGAATATAAAAAATACTTCGGTCGACTATAGCTGGTACATTAAGCCCATTTTAACATCTTTAAAAAATTATCACATATGTCATATAAAGTTAAGGAAGTAACCAATACAGTCCAACCCTGGTATGTAGCAATATTTATATCATATTTTTTTAAGTCCGATACAATTTGGCCCATGTCTTCGGAACCTACTCCATAGAGGGCCAACAATTTGAATAATCATAACAGAAGTCAAAATATATTTAAATAATAGAACATTGCCCGAGGGTATACATCTGTCGACAAAACCGACTGATACTTTCTAATTTGATCGTCATTTGATTTCTGAAGAAGAAACCGTCCTTGCAAAAAATGTCTAACCATTACGATTACTTTCACAGGTAGTATGCATTTCTTTCCAAAAATAATTTTTAAGAATATTGAATATTACTGGACAAAATTTAGTAGCGATTGACCACTTCGAAATCTTAATCGAAAACGTTTAAAGAACCATACCATTTCCTTTTAATTAAAAATGCATTTGTTATTTTTTTATAATTTGTATTCTTTTTAAATTTATTTCTTTTTTTCATACTTAAAATAATTAATTAATCTTTTCATTATGTTACTGTTTCCCTTTCATTTACGTTTTTGTTCTTTGCTGCAGTTTATTTTCTTGCTTATTTTGAATTTGAATAATACTACACAGTATGAGCAAAAACTTGTTTTTGTAGTTGTTGGTTTTTTTTTTTTTGGAATTTTCATAATTGTGTTTTTTTTTTTTATTTTATAGAAATTTCACTTCAGTTCATATCAACGTACAATAAATTTTCTTTACTAAATTCTCCCATCAATATCGTAAGATTTTATGAATTCTATGTTTTCACTTTCTAACAACTAAATTTATTAGATTTAAATGTTTTTCCTCTGTTGGTGATAGTAAATTTTTGAAATTTAATTTTAAATATTTTTCTTTTCATTTTTGAATAATCTTTGCAACAATTTGGTGTATGTGTGTGTGTGTACATGAGAAATTGTGTGACTTTTTTATAATTTATTGCGGACTACTTTAGTTATTTTTACAATTTAGTTTTTCTTATTTTTATTTTTGTTTTATTTAAAAATCTTTGTTTTTTGTGTTCATCTCTTTTTTAGATTTGCATAACAGGACAGGAATTTAGAGAATAATTCTCAATGCATTTAATTTGTTTTTATTGTTGTAAGTAATTTTTGTATTTTTATACATTCAGATTTTTTGTGTTTGTTGTTGTTGGTTGCACTTGTTTAACAATTACATTTATTTATTCAATTAGAAAACGTTTGGTAAACTTTTTGTTTTTTTTTTTAATTTTTTAGGTATTATTTGTTGCAAGTGTTTGATTTTCTTTTCAATTTTAAGGTGGTGTAAGTGATTTGTTTGTTTTTTTTTTATTAAATTTTTGAATTTTTATTAGAAAAATATATTTTTTAATTTTAGTATACTATTTTGGCTTAAATTAGTAATGAATTATTATTTTTTATTTAAGTCACAATATCTTTTCTTATAAAAAAAAACAAATTTTATGATGAAGAAAAATGTGTCCCCTGGTTATAAGTTAATCGAAAAGAAAGTTAATCACTTTAAAACTCAGAAAGGTTCATCAATGCTATATTTTGCGTATATGAGTCGAGGACTTCCAAAAATTATGAGTTCTATTAAATTGTGAAACAAAAGTACCACTCTTCGCCTTATTTAAAATCATTAAAAAATGTGTCCAAAACAAAAAATTTGTAGTCTAAAAACCCACAATGTAAAATTTGTAAACACCAAACGTGGGAGCCTATTATTATTATTTAAAGATTTATTTGATTTTGAAAAAATAAAAAGCAAATATCACGATAGAAAGCTTTAGTGTGAACCTGATCATTCTGTTTTTAGTGTAAATCAAACGGGATCTTTGGAATATATCTGAAAGTATTTTTTCAAAAGTCACTTAAGGCTATATTACAAATATTTAATATTTATGATGATTTGAAAATTTCAAAATCCAAATACACTTATTTTGACCCCAATGAAGATTTCCGCACCATTTCAACTATTAATAAGTAAAAAAAACTTTTAATACCATTCACCTTTGGGTAAAGATAACATTTTTATATAAAAGTATCGGAATTCAAACGTGTTTCAAAATACCATAAAGTGGGTGAGGCCGTTGTATGGGACCCATACCAAAGCGGAAACCTCTATAGACAAATTTACACTTCAAGGATTGTCATCTATCAAATCTTCTTAAATACCAAATTTGAAACAATTTCGTGGGTAAATTTGACTAGGATTTTCAAAATATCGAATTTCGGTGGGCATTGTTGTATGTGCACTATAGGAAAACGTGGACCTTAATATTCAATGTGCTGCCACCGAAGCTAGAATTCATTTTGAATTACAAATACAAATTTTTAGACAATTTCGTGCAAAAATGTGGCAAAAATCATCACAATACCGAATATACGGAGGTACCATTATGTTGGGCTATACAAAAACGTCGACCTATGCATACAATGTTTTGCAATCGGAGCTAGAACCCATTGCGAGCTACAAGAACCAATTTTTAGACAAATCCGTGCAAAAATGTGACGAAAATCCTCACAATACCGAATATCGGGAGGTATCGTTACATAGGGGCTATACCAAAAGGTTGACCTATATATAATATATTCCACCACCGGAGCTAGAACCCATTGCGGACTACAAATACCAATTTTTAGACAAATCCGTGCAAAAATGTAGGAAAAAGCATGAAAATACCGAATATCCGGAGGTACCCTTATGTGGGGGCTACACAAAAAAGTGGACCTATACCTACAATGTTTTGCACCGGAGCTAGAACCCATTGCGAACTACAAATACCAATTTTTAGACAAATCCGTGAAAAAATGTGACGAAAATCTTCAAAATACCGAATATCGGAAGGTACCGATACATAGGGGCTATACCAAAACGTAGACCCCTATATACTATGTTCCGCCACCGGAGCTAGAACCCATTGTGAGCTACAAATACACTTGATTTTATTCCTGGAATGTTTGGTATTGAAAATTCGTCCAGAGCCTACGTTCCACATTCCAACCAAATAGCTGTAATTTGATATTTCGTGTTCTCTGTAGGTAATTTTTTTGGTATTGTCCCGCTATGTGGCCCTGGACGTGTGAAATATGAAGAAAGCCTGATTTTATAATCGTTTTGGTTATTAAAAACTTTGACCCTTTGTGGGGGAGGTACCAGAAGGAATGGTCCCATCTTTACAACAGATTTTGTGTTGATAGAAATATTGAGATGTGCCAAGTCTGAATGGAATCGGATGCTCATTTCACGTTTTATGAGCTTCATTGTTATTTTGCCCCTTTGTGGGGGAGGTAACAGAGGAGCTGACCGATATATTACATCTTCACAGCAGATCTTGTGTTAGTAGAAATAATGGGATGTGTGAAATATGAAGAGAACCCGATGTTTATTTCGGATTTTATAATCCGAAAGAAATACTCCGATCTCTTCCATCTTCATAATATATCTTGTGTTGGTGAAAATATTGAAATGTACCAAGACTGAGCTGAATCGGATGTTAATTTCTTGTTTTATGAGCTCATGGATATTCAAAATTTTGACCCTTTGTGGGGGAGAATTTGACTGATATATTCCATACCTATATTGTCCATTTTCGCACCTGAACTAGCAGTGATGTAAATATTAGGATTTGCCAAATTGGATAATCTTTTATCTTTCTGTTCAATAAAATATTTTCTTTGAAAATTTCGTCCTATTGGGGGAGGTACCAGAAAGAATGGACCGATATTGCTCATCTCCGAAGTCGATGTAAGTTTGATAATTATATTACGATGTACACATTGGACCAAATCGGATACTCCTTTTGTATGCACCAACCAGCCAGACAGACGGACATCGCTAGATCGACTTCAAATGTCCTGAAACGGGTTTGATCCAAAAAGACCTAGGTCTAAAACCGTTATTTCGATGAGACACGTTTTGGCCGTATCAAATGATATATACTCTCTCTAGTCATCTGGCTGAGGTTATTAATAGCCATATGCCCTGAGCCATAACTGGTCATATGGCTGAGTGTATAATTAAACTGCTCATTTTTTACGCCAAGGACATTTAGGTACCTTTTTTTGGAAAACATATATTTAATTATAGTAGGAAATAAAACTGTACTCATTCGTATTTAAGTAGGACCCTTACGCGACAAACAAATATTTAATAATAAATACGACAATCGTTTAGTTAGCATATCATTAACTAGTTATTACGTTGCTGAAATGAGGTACTACCACAAAAAGGCAAAGTTCTTGCATTGGATAACGAAAGAATTTCGATCGAAATCAATTTCCTTATGTTCATTTTAGATTATTAGAAATAATTTTCTTTGAAGAACAACGTGTACTCAACTCTAGCATACGAAGTATAGTTCGTTTCTACCGAATTTTCAATTGATTTTTTTCGATATCGAATGAGAGAAGTTTTTCAGAACTTTATTTCGAAGTCAAATATACATAAATGTTTATCGTCACTTATTTATTTTCTCTTTGTAAAGAGCACAGTATCGATATTTGAATACTCAAAATGTGATTGTGGGCCAATAACTGTATCTGAGGCCTTCTGTCTTTGTTGATACTCTTTATTGATGGGTTATCATCTAATCGATGAGAAAATTTCCGCTCCAACCAAAATCATAATTAATTAACGAATATTTGTCAATACGTAGTAGTTTGTTTTATTGAATAATAATTTATGTTTGTATTGTAGGTATGTAAATATAAAGTGTCACAATATCAGTATGCATGTATGTATATAAATTAAGGATTGATTTGTGTGTGTGTTTCTCTTTTGTTTTTTGGGGGGAATCTGTTGTTTTTTTTGTATTGGTTTTTTTAAATATATTTATAAATTTATATCATAAATCACTGTGTTTAATGCTAAATCTATAATTAATAAACTTAATGGCTAATAGAGGAAGGACGAAGAAAAAATGTTTTTACATGTTTTTCTGTTTGCGTAAAAATAATAATAATAATTATGATAAACATAAAGTTTTAATAATATATTTGACAAATATAAATAATATTTGTTGTTTGTTGGTTGTTTGTTTATAAATTAATACAATTAATCGTTAAATGGTATTTTATTTCGTTTTGAATTAATAATATAGTTCTTGTTTTTTTTTTGTTTTCTTGCGGTGTGAGTGTTAATTTTATTATTATTTTTTATTACAATCAATATACACAGATTAAATTTAAGAGTAGATTTATTGGATGTTCTGTTGTTGCCTTTAGTTGAAAGTTTACATTACTACATTTACGTTATTAATTATTGTTTTTTATTTTATTTTTAACGATTTTTTGTTAAAAATAATTACTCAACTTTGTTTTACTCTAATGCAAATCTACTCTGCCAAATTTAACAAAGAAGCCAGAATTCATTCTTTGTATTCCGTTTTTATTTTCAATATTTTCAAAAAGTTTCTGTTTACATTTTTGCATTTTCTTTTGTGGTAGTGTTTGGAAATTTCTCTTGTGTTAGTGAAAATACTTTTAGAATTTTACAAGACATACTAAATTGTTGTTTTTTCTAATCTTAATGTTTTTTTAATGTTTGCCATTTCAAATAGTAGAGTTTTAGCACAACTTTGCCAATTTTTTATTTTTTTGTTTTTTTTTCTCAATAACCACTATTTTGTTTGAGTAGACATTTTCTTTTGTTTATAAATAATAAACTTGCCTCTATGTTTTTTTGCTTTTTACAAAGTCATTTCTTTTTCGAAAAAAAAAACTTTTCTATTATTTCAAGAAAGTGTTCCTTTTTTGTAAATTAGTTTGTAGTGAATTTTATTTTAGTTTTGGTAATACTAATTTATAAGCCATTTGTTATTTTGTGTTTGAACAACAACATTACAATTGTTTTGTGTTTTCTAATAACTGGCCTCGTGTCCGGCCAAAATGTATAAATCATGACCCTCTTCACTGCCCAAGGAACCAGTTCGTAACAATTGACTTTCTAGTGCCACCACTCTGTGAAAGAGAAGAAGAAAATGATGAAATTATTAATAAAAATGACAAAGGCTATTTTCTATTTTAAACAATAATAATATCAATCATAATAATGATAATAATAAATTACTGAAAGGGCAACTATTAGTGGAAATAGATTAAACAAAAGAATAATCTGACTCCATATCACGATATTGGAAACCCAATCAAATTTTGGAAGGTACATTGTCACACAAAGAAGCCGAAATGTCTAAACACCGCTGATTTGCTTTGTTTTGTTGGAATAAGTGCTATTCATGAATGGCTTGATTTCTGCTAATCTTATTTTAACTTCAGGATTCAAAATTGGCATTCATACTGTTGTTCTTTTTTTCATCTGTGACTGCATCAATATGCATGCTACTTATAGTGTTGGGCCTATCTCTCAGTAGGTCTGATCTATGAATTGCGCAAGGCATACTGACTGACAACTGCAGTATCAGAGATCTGACCTCAAGATGGGATAACAGTGTTCGAGACTACTGTAGACTATGTAAAGATGAAGAAGAGATAGAGACGATTGAACACCTACCTGCAGATGTCCCATGATATTAAACTAGAGACATAGATGGGATTTAGAAACTCTATTGTTATTTTCAAACATAGATTCTTTCATCATCTACAAGTTTGCCAAAAACATTCCTTGCCTATGCAGACAACCTTACTATAAACCCTTCCTTCTCTATCTCTTCTATAACCAACAGCTATATTTTTCTTAAGATGAATACAATAGACTAAAGGTCCCCGAGTAAAGCAGTTGCTGCCTTTCGTGTTTCTGCCCATCCTTATACCAAACAAAAAAACCTCTATAGATTATGTAGGTCCTTCCTGATATGCCTGATTCGGGGAATTTTATCTACCTTGTGATGGTTTGGATGAAAGTACATGTTTATGTGCAACGAAAGCACATGGTAATGTTAATCTCTTGCCTTCTCATATAGATGGTCCACCGATGTCATGAGGAAGCTATCTGTTACCAGCTAGCGACTTGAGGACCATGTTTCCACTTTTCAATTCATCACATTTAGCTGTGGTTTGCAGGATGACTAGAACATGATGTGTCCCCAAGGATTTCATAGGTATTTCTTATGGTCTAGGCTTAGGAAACCATATGGGGGCTAGGGACAAGTTTTCTTTCATTTTCAGGTACCCAATACTCGGAGTATCCAGCTGTTTCAATATATCCATTAAGATTCCGTGTGGACCCAATCATTTGGATAACCTCGGCGGGCAGCGATCATATGCTACGTAGAATTCTTCGTTTCCACCTATCACTCTCGATGTGCTTGAGAAATTAGCGATAGAAGTGGATGGCGCACCAATTCGGATCATTCCTATCACCCTTTTACCAAGGTTCGAGAGCAATTCAACCGTTATCCAGAGCTTACTCATACCAGTTCCAAAGGTAGTACCTATCTTATACGACTTAGTACTTTCTCGCTGCCTTTGCTGGGTAATTTGGCCAAATTTCGTTATAAGGCAAGCCGCTGCAGCTTTGATAATGTCTCGAAATGTCAGAAGGGTTGGGCATTCTTTGAAGCGACGGTTGGGAAACTATCTGAATTCTGGAGGTAAGCTTTCCTGTGATAAGGGAAAGTATGGCGGTCAGAGGTTGTGCAATAGGGTGACCGGCGTATGGAGACGATTATCGAAAGATGGTCTAACTCAAGCTAAGTGACGGATTGTCATGACAAGTAATTATTCAAGCCTGGTGATTCTATACATAAATCTGGAGAACTGTGATGCTCTCCACCTATTCGAGAGGTGTCTTCCTTGTTTGATATCAAGTGATATAGGTCGGTATTTAACAGAATGGTGAATAGGAACACTCATTTCCCACCTCCAATTCCGGTTAGTTGTGAACATAACAACGTTGTAGGCTGCAATTTTCACTGAACATTCACCGAAACCATCAACATTTTCCTCTGATTCATAAATTGCATTACATCATCTATTTTGCCTCGGAGTACATTGCAATTAAATAGCAAGAACGATGTACAATCCGGATCAACAACAAGTGGCATAAAATGCTGCGGTTAAGAGACTGTGGCGCAGTTCCGTACTCTTACGGCGACTAAGATGATAAATCTGGTGAGTACGAAAAAGACGTAGTCTCCCAACCGATTTAATCCGCACCGAGACTCATTTCATGGAAACTTGGAAACCTATATGGGAGATATACCAAAAAGTGAACCCATATTGAGAATCTCAAATATCCAATTGCTGCATATTTCGTTGGAAATTGGTGCAGGAACCTCCAAAATACCGAAAATATGGAGGAACCTTCGTTATATACACTCCAGTCACAATATTAAACATCCCAGCAATGATATCAATATCTGTGCAAAATTTCGAACTCCATCTTAAGCGAGCTCTATCTCGATTTTAAAAGGCCTCTGACTAGATGTTCAAACGAAATTATAAAATTTACATGGTGGGGGTATTAAATATTAGTGGCAAGCTTTCATAAGTGATATGGCCTCACTATATTTAAAACGCCAACAATGAGAGAGATTACCTACCACTCTTTTGAAGGTTATCTCCTCCCATCATATGTAACATTTTCGAGACATAATATATATAGATTCGAAAGATATTGAAAATTTTAAAAGAAATAAAATAGCACTTACTTATCACTTCCCAATAATCGATATGTACGGCTCATATCTTTAATTTCTTGGGTTATTTCACCGTTTCGCAGCGACTTGCCCTGCATGCCGTGCTTGTGGAATGCTAAAACACTATCGGGTAAACAAACTGAAATAAGAAAATAAAAAAGGAAATTAATTCTCCATTTCATGGGAGTGTATTTACATCAGGTCTGACCAGCCGGTTTATATGAGTGACGAGGTGTTTGGACTTCTCATGAATGAATGCACTCATTCATTTGTATGAATATTTCCATTTTCTTATACACATGCATTTCCGGCTGGCCTTGTTTCGGTTGACCCTGATTAACAGCATCAGTTATGAGATTCACCACACTTACCTATACTATCCACGTTGAAATCGAAATTCAACTGGGAGACCATTTTCTTATGCTGTTTGGGATTACCTTGCAGAGTAACCACCTGTATCACATTTCCATAACACACAATTATTGCATCCTTCTCCACCTGATGGACCTTTACCACTTTGAGTAGATCTCGTCGGGGTACCATTGTGGCCATAGCATCATATTCCAAATCATCCGCATGGAACCAACTTGCACCTATATTCATTCGTGTACGGGTAGTGTTTTGTATTTGCGTGTTTGTACAACATTTTCCCCCGTAAAAAAGGTCGGAAGAAGGAATATGAAAAACCAAAAACACACATTTGGGGGGCGGTGGGAACACACAAAAAAATAGGGGGAGAGCAAAAGATAATCAGAAAAGAAAACATAAAGGGGGGATCAAGGTTTTTGGGAAAGATCAGTAACAAAAACAAAAGACGCAACACACACAGCAAAGGAAACAGTTGCAGCAGAAAAGGCAAGAAAGAGAGGAAGAACAAACAAACAGAAAGCACACAATAAGTAACAATTCCAAAGCATAAATTGAAATCTATACCACTGTTCATGTTGATGAGTTCCAGCTTCAGGCATCCATTGACGGCCTTCCGTACTCCCGTACACACAATGGGATATTCCAGTTCGGGTGTTATAATCATCTCAAAGACCGGAGTGCGGCCGTTCTGCACACAACCATGACCACCGCCGAGTATGCTTGTGGCCGGCCACTCGCATTGTTTCAACAGCATGAATTTGTTCAACGGATCATACCACTGCATCAGGAATATACCATTGGGTGTTGCACCACACAAGTATTTATAGCCATTGTAGGGATTGCGTGTGACACAACACTGTGTACAGCCTTTGGTGTCGGGTACCTTTGTGGTCAGGGCGAATTTGCGTGGCACCAGCCGTTCGGGAATTTTGTTCATGTGCATCGAAAATCGATGGGTTTGCTTCGAGTGCAGCGCAATCAAATCGTGACGATATAGCTGACACGATTTACCCGATAGACTCATGAGGACATCCTTGATGACATACAACCATGTCGTACGCCGGGGGAACAATTGATCTATGGCAGCGTCGTGAAGTTCGTTCATATTCAAATTGAATATACCTTCTTCGGCTCCGATGAGCAGATGTTGGTCTCGTGTCTCCGGATGGATCCACGAGGCAGTGCAGTGAACACGTAGAGGACAACCATTGAATATTTTGGAGAAACAGGCACCCATGTGAACTTTGGGTGTTGGTGGCAGGCCATTCGATATGGGGCGTGGGGGAGTGTGTCGTCGTCTGTGGGAGCGTTTGGGAGGCACAGGAGGTGTATTGTTTAACAAATCGGGCTGGGCTTCTTTTTCCACTGCAAGAAAGGTTATAAAATTAAATGGATTCCAATTTATGTAGGCCACCATGGGCACTTACGTTCATCATCATCTTCCTGAGTACCACCGTCACTGAGGCTACGGGTACGCGATGATTTGCCCATATCATTAATCAGACCCAGCAGTTGATCCATGGAACTATGTCGTCTGGGAGAATCTTCCAAACCGTTCTGAAAAAAAAAGATATTTAAATTAAAATCACTTTCTAGGCTTCTAGAGTGTCATCATCTCTACTAACCTGATTGTTTTCCTGATTGTGGTGATGATGATGATGATGCTGATGATAATCACAGTTATGATGGCTGTTATAGTTCATCAAATTATTGCTACTTGTTTGCGGATCATTCGTTGTGGCCGTTCCGGCTGCCGCTGCTTTTGCCGCCGATGGTGCATTATTGGCAGAGGCGGATGTGGATAATGCTGAGGATGTTGAGGCGACAACATCACTGGTCGTATTGCTGTTTAAATAATTGGAACCATTATTGCGAAGGTAATTATTGTATATATACGTTGAGGAGTAGGAGGAGGAGGACACAGATGCTATATTCGGACAAATGGACGCACAACTGGACATGGCACAATTGTTATGATTGTTAGTAGTAGTACAAGATGATGAGGAGGAGGAAGCGTTAGCAGATGAGGAGGAATGTATGTGACCACCACCACTAATACCACCACCCAAGTGACTAACACTACTACCCGAACTAGAATTGTTAGAGTGCAGAAATGATGATGAAGAAGGTGAGTAAATATCTTGGCTATGATGACGATGGTGATGATGATGGTGATGCTGATGTTGATGGTAGTGGCCGCCACCAATGCCACCACTACTACTGTTGCCGTCGCCGCCGCCGCTGCTGCTGCTGCCGCTGTTGGCAAAGTTACTACCACTACTACTACCAATTCTACTGCCACCACCAACACCATCGTGGTATGGGTCAATAATACCGCTACCACTACCACCACCACCGCCACTACCACCCTTTTGATCAGAACATGAATTATCCATAGGATGATGACTGTACATTGAAGTCGATGTGGACAATTGGCCGTTGGAGGATGCAGTTGCGGCTGCTGCTGCTGCTGCCGCTGCCGCTGCATTTGCATTTGCTGCATTTGGAATGGAAATGGGCCGGCTGTGATTGTTGTAGTTGATGTATCCATGTCGCAGCATATCGAAATGGGCAAACAGTGATGAATGATTATCGGTGAGATCGATGGCATCCAGAGCTGTGGTGCGCAAATTCGAATAACCGCTGCCATAGGATAATGACGAAGGACCATTACCACTGCCGCCATTTGTGGTCGTTGTCGTTGACGAGGAGGATGAGGAGTAGGAGTTTATTAAAGCTGCGGCCGGTGTGGAGGAGGAGTTGGACGATGCCGTTGTTGCCGATGAGGTGCCATTTGTTGTCGTTGATGAGTTGTTGGATGATGCAATGTTATTATGGTTGTTACTGTTGTTAACACCACCACTACCACTGCTACTGCCACCTCCTCCACCACCACCGCCACCACTACTACCGCCGTTATGGCTACAATTGCATTCAGTGCTTAGTAAATCTTTGGTATCGGTTAATGGCAATGTGGCTCTGCAAAAGCACAAAAAAAGAAGAACAACATATGGAAGAAAAAAGAGAAAGAGAAAAAAAAAAACGAAAATGCAACAAAATGTATGAGAGTGGTATTCTTTCAATAATCTAAGTATGTTTATGAAGAAGTTCTTAGCATAAAATACATTCACACATACATAGATAGGAAACAAAGGGTAGAAATGAGTGGGAAATCTTTGAGATTGGAAACATATAACCGCTTGCATTAAAACCAACATATTCAGATAAGTGTATGCAGGCTTCAAAAGATCTTAAATTTAATCATTCAAAGTTCTAAGATCCCAACCACAAATCATATCTATAAGTAGAATATAGATATTACATTTTGATAATAAATATAGCAGAATAAAGGTCTGAGGTCTCTCTCTATAGGTTCTGGATTTAATAATCAGAATAGGTTATGTTTGAAAATGTTCGAATCTTTGTAAAATGGACGTCTTGGAGGAAATTTTTAGGAATATTTCCCTATTGGTATATTACTATAATTATCAAACAATTTTACGCTCTAATGTTTGAAACCGAAATTCTGATTATTTTCTATTTTTTTTTTTCTATGGGAAAAATCATCTCACTACGGAAGAAGTCTAGTTTTATCGGATAACTTTGAAGGGCCTATATTAAAGAGACTTTTGTGAATATCTCTGCTGCTGCAAGGCGTTTTTAAAAAAGAAGAGTTTAGCAGTTCCATAAATTTCAAAAATAACTTCTGGAAAACTATTTTTCGGATATCATAACTATTGAGGGAACGGGAAAAGTGGATTGATTTTCAAAAGAGTGGACGCCTTCCTTCATACTTTTACCCGATCCAAATAATATAGGTTAAAATTTTTTGAAAAATGCTAGATTTTTTTAAATTTTAGTATTCGGTGGTTCAGGTTTTGACAAGACATTAAATGGTAGCACCTATCGATTTAATAAATTTTGAGCGTTTTAAGTTGATCTTCAGTTTAAGGGTAATAAAAGGTTAAATGACTCGACTCAAACTCCGAGATAAGCAAAATTACCAGACACTGATAGTTTAGCAGCTCAGAGATTCAGTGCCGTAGCACATTTTAAAGATTGATTAGGACTTTGATTTGGAATTGAAAACGACTACAACTGTCTGGGTTAGTAAAGCTCCCATATAATCAAATCTCAATATATATTATATTGATATTTCTCATAAAGATCCTGGTCTCAATTTTAAACCAATTTGGCTATATATTGAGTTTGTCAGAAAAAATTCCCTCCACATAGCTACAGATGGTATATATTTTTATATGGTAAAAAATAAAATGACTCATCGCTTAAGGCTCGATTGAGGCCCGATTTTTTCTAAAAAACTAAAACTAAAAACATCGTAATATTTTTACCGAGGCAGGGTGAATTTGCGTGTGCATCGAAAAACGATGGGTTTGCAGGGCTATCAAATCGTGACGATATAACTGACACGATTTACCCGATAGACTCATGAGGACATCCTTAATGACATACAACCATGTCGTACGCCGGGGGAGCAATTGATCAATGGCACTCCTTCGGGGGTTTTCCACCACAAAACATTATCATTTTAAAAGTAAGTAAAATTCACATATTAAGCGATTGGAGCACGCGATATATTTTAAATTTGGTACACCTTAATATATTGCTAGGTCAGGTACAAACTTGGAAAATATTAACCCACTCTTGCTTGACATTACCTTTAAAAGGTCAATATTCGGAAGAAGAAGAATACCTCTTACAAAAAGTGTGATATAAGTGTCTGTGGACATCGGTCCACTTCTTCTGGCACACAGATTTTCAAATTTACAGAAAACAAGTTAAAAAGTATCAGTCGGTTTTGCCGACAGATGTATACCCTCAGCCAATGTTCGATTATTTAAATACATTTTGACTTTTGTTATGATTATTCAAATTGCTGATCCTCTATGGAAGTGGGTTTCGAAAGAATGGACCAATATATTGTCCATTTCGTATCGGACCTAAATAAATATGATATAAATATTGGGACGTGCCAGGTGTCGACTATATTGGTTACTTTCTTTAATTTCTATGAGATATGTGATCATTTTGAGAGAAATCTCTAACTGGTTTGCAAGTTTTGACAGATAAAAGTATGGAAAATTGTGACCCAGATGGGGTTCGCAGATATATACATCTTCTTCACAACAGATCTTGTGTTAGCAAAAACGTTTGTGTGCGCGAAATTTTAAGAGAGTTGGATGTTTATTTCTTTTTTTGAGCGTTTTGTTTTTCAAAATCCTAAACCCTATGTGGGGGGATGTACCAGAAGAAATGGTCCGAACTCTACCATCTTTATAAAAGATCTTGTGTTGATGGAAATATTAAAATTTACCAAGCCTAAAAGGAATCATATGTTAATTTCGGATTTTATGAGCTTCAAGTATTCAAATTATCACCCTTTGTGGGGGAGGTACCAGAAAAAATGGTTCATTCTCTACCATCTTTATAACAGATCTTGCGTTCGTGGAAATATTGAGATGTGTTAAGTCTGAATTAAATCGGATGTTAATTTAGCTTTATATGAGCTTCATGGGTATTAAAAATGTTGACTCTTTGTGGGGGAGGTACCAGAAGGAGTGGACCAATATGTCCCATCTTCGCAACAGATCTTGCGTTAGCAGAAATAATGGGATGTGTGAAATAGGAAGTAAACCTGATACTAATTTCGGAATTTATGATCGTTTTGGTTTTCTTGTGGGGAAGGTACCAGAAGAAATAGTCCGATCTCTACCATCTTTATAACATATCTTGTATTGATAAAAGTATTGAGATGTGCCAAGTCTGAATGGAATCTGATGATAATTTCGCGTTTCACGAGCTTCATGAATATTCAAAATTTTGACCCTTTGTTGGAGAGGTAGCAGAAGGAGAGGACCGATGTATTCCATCTTCACACCAGAACATGGGTTAATAAAAATATTGTGATGTGTGTAATTTTATAAGAGTTATAATTATTCAAAATGTTGACCCTTTGTGGGGTAGGTACTTGATGGAGTGCACGGATATTGTCAATTTTCTCGTCTGACCTAGCACTTATGCAAATATTAGGATTTGCAAAGTTGGGATAAAATCGAATAATTCTTTCTGTTTTATGCAGTGAAATATTTTTTGAAAGTTTTGACCCTTTGTAAAGGATGGTACCAGAAGAAGTAGACCGATATTGTCCATCTTCGTTTTGGCCGTATCAAGTGATATATACCCTCTGTAGCCATATGGCTGGCGGTATATAAAGTATAGACTTTCAAGCGTTAAGTCGGAATAGAACAGCTTTCATTGCATTGGTCAAATGTTTCCAATCGTCGATTACATTAAGAAATTACTGTAAATTTCGTTTATAACAATAGCTAAGAGACCAATAATTATGATCTTTATAAAACTATAATATAAGAGATAACTGTCATAATTAAAAGAGAAAACCATTCAACCAACCTAACTGTAGTTAACCTAAAAACAAATATTTTTTGGTGAGAAATTTGAGTTTTTTAATTTTTTTTTCGACTGTTATACATTTCCTTTAAAAAAACCGAAGATAAGTACTACTATGTTTAGGATTAAATACAGAAATGGCCTCTTTAAATATAATCATAAATGTTTGAAAATGTTTTTGTTATATTCGTTATAAACGAAATTTACTGCATCATAATACATGTCTCAATGTAGGATAAGGAAAAAGAGGGAAAAGGTCTTTAAAGTTCATTTTATGTTTTTTGCAACAAAATTGTTAATTGCTTCATTAGCTTCTTCGTGTCTGTATGTGTGTTCATTTTGTTTTCTTGTTTTTTGTGTTTTTTTTTCTTACTTTCGAGTCATTATAGGATTAACATTAGCATTTGTTAGTTTTTGATAAATAAGAGGCTTTACTTGCTGGCATTTTAAGGGAGCAATGCAGCAAACAAATAATGAATGTATAATCACATAGACATTTATACACCAATACATACATATATGCATATATTACATGTGTATATGTATTTATAAGTACAAGTCATTTGGGGAATTCATGCACATGAGGGGCATGCATGTCTCTGGAATAAAGATAATAATCATGATATTGATGCGGATGTGTAAGTGTGACTACCACCAACCAAATGCGACCCAGACACCGGTGATGATGACGATGATGAAGATGTTAAAGATAATGACATATAAATGAGAATGTCACACACATAACAATGCAAAATCTACATAAACTATAATGTAGCAGATTATGTTAACATGAATATTTTAATGCATGTGTGTGAGTGTGTGTGTCATGTATGTATGATAATACGAACGTCTGACTATGAGATGCATGTTTATGTATGTATAAGTGTGGAATTTCCTGTCATGCATATGACTATTTTAATGTTTTATATTATCGGCAAACAGACCATATTATGAGAGTGTTAGTAATTTGTACGCATGTGTATGTGTGTAAATATCAATGAATGACTTAAAAGGAGATTTCATTTTTAATGGCAAAAATTTGCCACTGCCAATAAATATATATATTAGCATGTATCGGTACAAAGAACATAATTAACAATATTCTAGGAGAAAGGACTATTTTACAATATTTTATTCTTCAGATACCATAACTTCTGGGGGAACGGGTGGAGTGGATTGATTTTTGAACAGTGGACACCTATGTTTACCCGATCCAAATAAGTTAATTTAAGGTGTCAGATTTTACGAGCATTTTCAAATTCAAGTATTTCGTGGTTCAGGTTGAAGTTTATAATTCAGATTTTTAGGAGAAAATTATCAATTTAGTTAATTAATTTGAAGCTCGACTTTAAAGTTATTGAAAAAAGAAATAAAAAATTAATAAAAGAAAATTATTAAAATTATTGAGTTCAAATATAAATTTTGGAAACTATATCCATTATACCTTCTACAATTGTATGCTTAACAAGTTAAAAAGTATCAGTAGGTTTTGCCAAAAGATATATACCCTCAGTCAGTGTTCGATTTTATAAATATATTTTGACTTCTGT